TCAATTGTCCCCGAGTTCAATCCCGGGTGAAGTCACTTAGCTATTGGTTGAAATACTTCCAATTAGAAGACAATGCAAAAAGTTGAAGCAACGCTTTTTTTATAGTTTCTGGTAACCACGTTTCACGCAGCATACTTTGTTCTTCATATTTGATTGTACCACTGTGCGCCAGTCCCTACGTCGTTCACTGTACTGTTACAGCACGCACCCAATAAAACTGTTCTTTAGCTCTATGTTTACATGAGCCGGTGGGGATGTTCTCATACCGGCAGTAGCGAATCGAATACGTTCGTCGTATCAGGATGGCGTGCAAATACATCTACAACATCAATCAGAACCTTGTCGATGGCTTCGTAGTTCAACGACGAGTAGTTTTGTGTTGGATCGGTCGCTGCTGTGGGAAGACCGATCTGAGTACCGGTACCCTGCTTGATTCTGCACACAAGGCACGTTTTGTACGGCACACGCGTTGTTTGATCTACGAAGTGCTCCCAGGGCGACTGTTTGGGTACATTTCACTTGCAGCCGCCCCTCTATAGCTCTGAATACCATCGCACCAGTATGGAATTGAATGGCGATTACATGATTTGAACTTGAATATATTCGGATATCTCTTTGGTGATTTCACCGTTGAAATGAAATCATTGGTGAAATCATAAAGTGAAACCTGCATCGTTGAAAACATTGGTGATTCATTAGTAGCTTTTTGGGTGTTGAAAAGGCAAGGTCAATCACCGATGAAATCACCGGTGGGTGTCTACCGAACTGACACTAATTGCGTTGCAGGAATCGCCGGTGCTTTCACCGGTGACTTGGATAAGGTTTTTCTTACGTTTAAGGTCAGTGGTGTTGGCCAATCAAAACTGTCTGAAAGGGTACCAAGGGGTTAGGTCGTTGTGGGAGTGGACAATTAATGGGCAGGTTGGTAAATTTGTGGCGAGAAGCTCTGGCACTTCACGTTAATTGTATACAAAGGTTATGCTTCGAAGTATCATTTTATGAGTGGAATCAGTTTTTCGTCATCAAATCTACCAATACCTTTTATGTGACCATGTCGATGTATTGAGGCGTAGATGTTGTAGCATATATGATCGTCATTATTCTGCTTTTGCTCGAATTTTTCCAATTATGCCCGATTCGTTGAACTGATCACAAACCACGTCGAGACTTTTGATTGGCTAATTATTGCAGCCGAATTCGCACAAGCAGAATGCGCGCAATCGAGTCCGTCATCGGTCGCCATGCCAACTCCCACACTGTCATGCACTGCTTGTATGGTACTTCTTTCTGGGGATTGAGAAGAGCGAGGTGGCGACGATCTATCGGAAGGACGAACGCACGATATCGAACTGGATCTAGCGGCACAACGAAACAGGAACGTACGAAAGGAAGCACACTGCACCGTCGATAATGTTCACCCAACTCGAAAAGGACTGGCTCATTGCTCACTTTCAGTCGCACCCCCTTGCGTTCCTTGACGAAACCAATGCAGCTTTTGCCTGTGCATTCCACAAGTCCATCAATGTGTCCCACGTTTGGACCATCATAGATGAGTATGGTATGACGTGGAAAGTGTTGGAACGTCGGGTCGTACAAATCAATCAACAAGGCAAATGCCGTTTTGTGAACGAGCTCGACACCACCACTTGGAGACGAAGGAATCTTGTGTTCCTTGACGAAGTTAGCTTTGATAATCGAGGCATGCTTTGAAAGCGCGGGTACTCGATGAAAGGCGACAAGATCATTTTTCGTGCCGAATTTACCCGGAAATCACGAGTTTTCTTGCTTGGCTTTATTGGCGCAGACGGCATACTGGACTACTACGACACGGAGGGGACATTCTACCGGGAAACATTTTTTCGGTGCTGCCGTTTGTTCGCGCACTCTGGGCATGTGGCGATGTTCCCCGGGCGCAACTCGGTGTGGGTTCTCGATGGAGCCAAAATTCATTGCCATCCTGATATTGTGCTGCACCTCCGTCAACTCGGAATTGTGCCATTGTTCCTGCCAGCGTAGTGCCCATTTTACAATCCCATCGAGTACCTCTTCGGTTACCTGAAGAAGGCGTTTCAGCGACATTACTCTGAATCCCACACCGAGAGGAACTTAATAGTATTTGTCGTTCACATCATGTGCAAGTTGAAGTTGATCGACATGTCAAAGGTATTTACTCATTGCGGTTGGCTCCCATCTGGCCAATTTGATCCATGCAAAGGCCTCCAACACAACAAATGTTGACCACGATTTTGCTTTAGAAGACACGGAATAGATTCTAACATTCTTAGTTGTAATTCATTGATAATTCAAGACTTTATGTGAATTACTAGTATTGATCTTCACGTAAATTAAATCCTAAATTGCCAACGTCAAGGGTGATTTGCCCCAACGAAACATCCTCGACGTTTTCCATTTCGTTAATACCACCTGGGGCCACTTCGAGGTCTGAAACTGCGCCAGGTCGCCTTCCATGGAACCGAGAACGTCACGCTTAGACACCATCGACTGCTGAAACAACTTGAGTCTTTGCGCAACGATTTCTACGGCGGTTGTCAGTTGTGCTAGCTCGATGAGAACACCGTCAACAACATCAACAACAGTTCTGGTGTTGCGGTGGAAACCCTCCATCCTGCTTTGATGCTCGGACGACTTGGGCCTCAGTCGGGCAAGTACGTGCGGTGGCGGCATTTGTTGTACACATCACTCCCAAGCAGGAAAGGGGGCTTGACAATCTATGAGACCCAAATGGGATGCTCATCTTCCCATGTGTTGTCCCACTTGGCATACAACTTGGGTATGAACGCTTGGATGATGGCTTCATTGGGTGCTCCAGAACAATCTTGGTTTTGTGGAAACAATGCACGTCACATTGAACTCTGCAAACTGGTCCTTGGTGACCATCTCGTTGCCATACTTGTAGATGGACAGGGAGACCCTTGAATGGCGCACTCTAGCCAGCCATTCGTTCATTTTGGACTCGCTCTCAACTTTCTTGACATGCGTCTCGTGTTTCATCGAGAAGATTCGTTCAAAGAGCGTTTCGTTGACTTGGTCATCGAGGTAAGTCCACCCACCCTCCTCGGTTCGCTCGGGGCGCACCTTGGGTATATCCCCTTGTCCATATTTTAAATAAATTACAAAAAAGAGAAACGATTACCACTGTGTATATTATTACAACACTGCATGGCCGTACTTCTTAATTCCTACGACTAACCCTTTGAAGTAGGATGTGCCCGAGGTACCCGATGAAAACTACCAGCTGCGCCACAGACATTCGTCCAAGAACGGAGGTAACAGATCTGACAATCTGACACCACACCTCGCATGGTCTTGATAAGTCGCTTGACTTGATTTTCCCATAGACATTCGATGCGTTGGGTGTGGGCACCAGAGGTGGGGTCAACGAAGTTGTCAGTGTGATTCACGCACTGGTGCCTATACCTCATGTCTTGAAGGTCTCTGTTGTTGGCAAAAGTATGGACTTCGTTCGTGGACACGTACGACTTGTCCGACATAATCAGAGTTCCGGGTCGTATGTGTTTCTTGATCAACGCTAATAGCGTCGGTTTCGTGCGGTCCTCGCCGACCAATATGCCGAACCACCGTTTGGTTGCCCGATCGACACCACCAAAGAGCCAACGGTCTGGGTAAACTTCACCACGGCCGTACTTTGACTTCTTCTTCGATTTCGATGACGTGTCCTTCACCGCCAATCTAGGGCCGCAAAAAAACAGTTTAGATGAATAAATTTTTTAAAGCAATACAGCATGTTGAACATGTTGTTGAGTGACTCATCGGGTACGTTGAGGTATGCGGCGTTCACTTTGGTGATCAACTCGTCCACAGTGTAGGCTGGCATCTTCTGCTGCAACGTTTGTAGGCGCCCATGGCTTGCGCTGGCACGCACAACGTCAGGGTCCAAGGCGATTCCATGAGGCGTGTCGTGTTGGACAACAATGAGTTGGTAGGTTTGTGGGAACTTTTCAAAAATGCTGGGGAACACTCGATTAAGGAGCACGTCTTTGTACGTACATTTCGTCACCGCTATGAACTTTGTCTCCAACGTTCCTGCCTCGCGCCGGTGGCTGCGCCGCTGTGCGGCGACTTGTTCAACGAAGGGCCAAATACCAAGTTTGCCGTCAAACTGGTTCCGTCGACGACCCGCGGCCGTGCAACTGCAGTCAAGAACATGACACTTGGAACGAAACGTTTGTTCTTGGTCGACAACTTAGGAACTTCCTCCCATGGTGCAAGGTAACATTTGCTCTTGACCTTGCGCAGGTAGAACCATTTCTCGTCCAAGAAAACTCGGTCCATCATGACGTCGAAAATGAGAGAGCCGGAGACGACATCGGTGAAGGCGAGCGCGTATTGCTTTCTTGTTTGCATATTTTCGGCAACGGTTTCAACGACGAGTGTTTGCGGACAATGATGCCAGCGGCGAAGCAGTCGTGTATAGATTTTGGAATATCCAAGGCTTCTGCCATGGTGCGGAAATCCATCGTTTGTGTTGGATGCAGCTTTGAAACTCGTTCTTGCAAGGTCAAAATGTCCTCTGACTTTCTTTGTTGCGATGGCGTAGGTTGGAACGACAGGTCGGCTTGTCCACGGGTCAGACATGCTGTATGGTGCGCTCGGTCACATTGTAAGCCTCAGCTTGTTTCTTAACAACTCCATAGCGTGGCTTTCCGTTGGTGCTGTTATGCAGCATAACAGCATATATAGCGATCTTCTCGTTTTCATGGAGGCGGCGAAACTTCATGCGAGACCGACGTATATATTTTTCAAATGAAAAGTGCAAGGACATTCAAATTCGTGTATCTTGTGAGCCATCATGCCAATCTTGGTCATTTGACCGCCATTCGATTCGCCTTGCTTTCAATTATTTGTTTTGGTCAATCACAGCTCTTTACAAAAATCTACTGATTTTTGATCCAACTGTGAAAAAATCACGACAATATAAAACCGGACAGATGTAGTATATATTTGTGAGCAATTAAGATGCATAAAAATTGGTTAGCAATTGACGAATAATTAATTGTAGAATTTTACCTTCATTTCTCTTGCAAGCATTTCGGCCGAGCAAATATCTCGGCAATAGTTGTACCAATTGCACGCGGTGTCCGCCGACACTCCTTCCTAATCCATGACAGTCTTGGCTGGCTTGTGCGAAGCCCACGCGTATAACAGACGCAAGAGCGTCGTTAGTGGTAACTTCGACTTCGCAAAGAACGAGCCAGCGCGGATGCTCTTTTCGACGGCGGGCGGCGCGGGGCTTCATCTGGCATCTCCAGCGCAAACCGTTCTCTGTCTTCGACAGCATCATATTCTTTGCGCAGGTAGGACACGCCATTGAACCCTCCAGAAGACCAACTTGACGTCTCCACAGCGTACAAGTATCTTCCGAAGCGGTGACCTCAAGGATAATTCAGTACGTGAACCCATCCTGTGCCGACAAGTCGTACATCGCGGGTCAGTGCTGACCAGGGGTTGTACTTATTTCCCATTCATTTGACTGTTATTTTTGTTGTTTCCGCAGAGATGAAGCCAATAGCAGGTGTTGTAGTTTTTCGTCATTGCTAACTACAGTACTTGTGACGTGCGGATGTGGAGTGCCTGAACATACAGTGGAACTCATCAATTAATACAGGTACTCGGTTGTGTTTTAATTCTCATTGGGCAAAAATGTGGACAAGGCGATATACCCAAGGTGCGCCTCGCTTGGAGAGTCCCTGGCACTTGGACTTGAACTTGGTAAACAGTTTCGTCTGAATGGCACTCCACGACGTCCCACCTCACACATACATCCGTAGTTTAACAGCAGACGTGTTCCGCTGACAAATCGTGTTCTTAACCAAAGGTTCAACTCGAAGACCAATCGTGCTTCTGACTCTTCGTGGGATTGCTGGGATGAGCTATGGAACGCCCTCGTTTCTGGAGGGGTAGTCTGTCATGTCTGGCGGTGATTGGTTTTGCATTGTGCCCAGAAAGCAAACTGGTGTCGTCGGTGTGCGTGTTATACCACGAAGTCGATTTTCTTAGGTTTAATTGGCTGTTGTTTAGCCAATCAGCGACTTGCAATTTCAGATTGACCAATGGTGCGATTCGTGATCGGTTCACTCAGTGTGATTCGATTGAAGGGGGTCCGGAAATTTGTATCGAATCAATACATGGAGAATCTTTGCTCCGCATTGCGTAGCCCTCACCTCACCTCAAGGCAATAATACTTCATGTACTTCGAAGTAAAAAATAACGTGACCAACGAGGTTGTTGCACACCACGGAATAAAAACGACATTTTGACGAAAAACCCCCAATTATGTTTTCGAGTGCGTTATGATATAAAATGTTGCCTAAACGCACACGTTTAACTATAAAAACGTAATTAAACGGTGTTCCAAGGTGGTTTTCGCGACATGACTGAGACCGTGCCAAAATGTGCGACCAATCATGACAGATGTACCGTATAGTGTATATGTATTGCGACAGGTGATATTTCACAACCAGCCGACACTCGTACTCAAAATTTTATTAATCCATTGCGTCATACAAATTTGAAGTATATTCAACATGCTCACAAGTAAATATCAGTTATTACAAGAAAATTATCAGTTATTACAGGAGTCGCAATAGATTAATCCGTCGCAATGCATATACAGTATACGGTAATGGTAAGTTCTGAGTGTCAACAATTTCGTATTTTCTCAAAACTTTATTCGCAAAATAATGGGTGTCACATACTATTAATATTACTACTGACTGTACTGTACTCGTGGCGCGGATTGTAGATCCAACGACGACGATGGTTGGTGTCTGTGAATGGGGTACAAAGTACAGGGACAACATGCATGCTCCCGTGCGAAGCGGCGGCAATGTTCCAAGGCGATTCGATTGGCACATGAGTACTGTACAGTACTCCTTCCTCCTCGACAGGAGCAATATTTTACTGACGACACTGTGGACGGGCTGTGACCGATGCAACTCGTCGATGTCGATGGTGGGCTTGGCCCACCACACATACACATCCGTCTCCATGTCCTAATGCTCCCAATATGCTCATTCGTAGTTGCTGTTCATCGTAGCTCAAGTGCCATGTAACCATGGTGGATGCGCTGGGACGAATCGTTCCATGCAGACGACGAGGAATCACATGATTGCCTTATCATTCTACGACTATGTTTACCGGTAACGTTATTTAGTCTAGGTCACTCATCGCGCTTCTTCTTCTTTTTGGGGGCAGGGTCAGGTTTGGTCACGGCGTCGTTTGAGAAGAGCTTGGACACTTCGAGCCCGGACGTGAACGCTTGGTTGAACATGACGCGCTGCTGAAACGCCGACAGGAATGGCATGAACATGGCGATAAACAGCACCGGTCCAAAGATGATCCACCCCACAGACCGATCGAACAGCGCGGCGATGGTTTCGATCATCGCGTGGCGGAACCCAAGCCGGACAATGGCTATCTGTAGCACCCAGTACGCCACGAGCAGCACGATGAGGGCGATCTCGACGATCGTGCGGAGGTTGAAGTACAGCAGGGCGGCAATGAGCCCCGCGAGCCCCGCAAACGTGAGGTGGAACTTGAGTTTCCTCAAGCGTTTCTGCTTGAACGTCATCTTCTTGGCGACGCGGCCGGACGCGTACCCGGCGCATGCGAGGATGAGAAGCAGCACGACCAACGCCCCGAGGATTATGTATGGCTTCAACGCAAAGTCGTCGGCCACGGTCATGTTTTGCTCGGTGTAGGCCAGTCTGAACATCATTTGCAGGTACAGCCCCACGGCCACCAGCAGGAACCGCGTCTTGCGCACAAATTGAACCAACCGCGAGAACGGCGTCGAGTGCTCGAGGTACTCTAGCTCGTTGGCCCACCATCCGAGCCAGCTCTCGGACGAGTCGTTCTTGGTGGTGAGCCACTGCTGCCAATCGCTGTAGTCATCGATGCACTTGTCCCAGTCGAGCCCGCTCGGGTTGAAGAAGAATGGCGCCCACATCCACGTCGCGGCGATGAGCCACAGCGAGTAGCTCATGATGCCGTAGTTCTGGTTGGTTGGCAGAACACATGACTGGTAAAAGTTGGCATAACATCGCGTCTTCCACTCGTACGGGAGCGGCTCGACGTTGTTGTAAAAGTCCGCTTCGAGCATCCACGAGCAATTGCACCATGAGAACGTTCCGTAAGCATAAAACAAGAGCAGGAGAAACGACAGCTCCACGCCCCGGTAAAAGTGCGAAAACGCATAGAACCGAAACAGCTCGGCAAACTTTTCGTGCTTGATCGTAAACCCGCGACCGGTCGCGCGGTACTTGGCGCCGCCGTGGATCAGCGTCCGGTCAAAGTAGTTCATGCGGTTCCCCATCTGAAACGTAAAGAAGAGCGGCCCGAGCGTCATGCAGTTCCACAGGAGGTAGCTCATCCCATGGCGGAACCCCTGCTCGACCCCCACGACCGCGATCACGGGCACGACGAGGAGAAAGCCAAACTGGAGCGCCCACGACGTGTTCAGGACGCCGCTGATCCCCAGCCGACCAGCTTGGAGGTAGTACGCATCCAGCCCGCTCAGGGAAAAGTAGATTTTGCCGTAGATAAACACATACACACCGTACACGGTCAGTGTCTGCGTAAAGTACCACCCCAAGTTGCCGTAAAACCACGAATTCAGTCGGAAAAAGTCGAGCCGGTTTGCCATGCGCATGCAGTCGCGCGATGTGACACATTCGCCTGCCCCGGACGACAGTTTGGCTTCGAACAGGGCCAGCTGCTGCATGCCCACATCACGCCCCTTGCCCACTTGGATAAACTCTTCGTGGGTGACCCTTCCACCCCGAAGGGTCGTGTTGAAGCCGGCAAAGATGTCCTCCGACAAGTTGATCCCCCGCGACGACTTGGCCGTACCCCCAGTCCCCATGGCGAACATCTTGTCAAAAATGTCGGGGTGACCGTAGTGTTGGCGCACATGGAACAGCGCGAGCATGCGCTGACCCAGCGACACGAACGACAGCTCCTGGATCTGCATGAACGCCGCCAGGTTGGACACTCCCCCCGTGAACACGTACTCGCGGAACCCGATGATCGTGATGGGGTACGTGTTGTCCTTGCGCTGCTTGTCGTCGGACGTGGCGAGCAAGTTGGGCATCTTCAGACACTCTTCCAGGTAGTTGTCCTGGTTCATGTCAATGCACTGCAGCCACTCGCCGCGCGTAAAGATGATCGCGTGGTTCTGGTTCTCAGGCTTGCCTTCGCCGATGATCGGGTCTCCCGGCAGCTCCACGCGGTACACTTCCACGATCTTGTCGCCTTGCGCTCGAATGAGCACGGAAAAGTACTTGAGTGAGCCATCCTTGACCTTCTTTGGGCCATCCACGTACGCCACGCGAAGGCCTGGATGTTTCACGAGCAAGTAGTCAATGTCGAGTGCCTGCTGCTTCTGCTCGTCCTTCTGCTTGCCGTAGATCTGACATGTGCAAATGTAGCTAAACTTGAGCGCGACCATCTCGTCCAGCTTGAGGCACCGGCTGCACGCACACCCATGTAAATGCATGGCTTCGTTCTCGCCAATCTCGAGCCAATGGAGGAATCGAATCGCGTCTTCGTTGTACATCATGCCGCGCACGGTCCGCGCCAGCGTCTGGCCTCGATAGGACGCCCACAGCTGGACCTCTTCGGGGCACTTTTTGAGGGCGTCGGCGGCATCTCGCGCGTGAACCCGCTCGAGAAAGTTGTCCCATTCATGCGGGTTGATCGTCTGGAGATAGTACACCAACTTGATCGCGTCGTCGTTTTCGGTCGTGAGGTCCTTGAGCGAGTACAGCACGATCTCACTAAAGTACGGCGTCGAGATTGAAAAGGAATGCATCTGCCGGACGGGGCGTGCATCCGGCATGTCCATGAAGAGCGAGTTAGCGAAGAACCGGAGTCGCCGCTGGCCCTCATCCGACCGCGGCTCGGCGTCGACATTGTCCACCGTGAGCAGTTGATACGCCCTCGACACGATGTCCATCACGGCCTTGTCGTTCACAAGAGTCTGGAGCTGGCGGCTCGCGTACCGCTGTTCGTCGGCGGGGAAAAAGAACGAGTTGGGCTTGAGCGGTGTGTCGTTGAGGAGTTTCACCAAGTGTTCTTGCTTGGCCAGCAGTTTCTTCATCGAGTTGATCACGACTTCGACGTTGTCGACTACTGCGTACAACGAGCGCTGGAACTTGATGTTGGCGTCGGTGGACGACGCGGGCACGTCCAAAATAGACTTGAGCAGCTCGGCGCATTGGCTGCGCACGGCGTAGAGGCAGTTCAGGTTCAGCCCCTTGAGAATTTGGTGCTGGCACACCACCTCCTCGATAAACGCAAAGCACTGATCCACTTCCTTGTGCTGTTCCCCCAGGAGGATCTTGATCACTTGCGACGTAAATTTGTACGACCCGACCACCGCCTGCATCCTCAAGTCGTCTTTGAGCAGGCGGTCGGTCATCGACTGCTCAAACTTCTGGAGCGCCTTGTCCTTCTTCTTATCCAACACGAGGCGCTCGTACACAACGTAGCAGTCGGACACGATCTCCAACGACTCGTCCAGCTTGCCCGCGGTTAGAAACACGGGCTGGTACAGCCGCCGGTCGGGTGTTTCCTTGGCGTCGATGAGGTAGCTCAGCACGCTCAGCTCCCTGTCGCTCAGGACGTCCGCATCGCGCATACTGGAGAGGCAGCGGTTCCACGCCATCGCAAACGGAATCGTGCGTTCAAACTCGGCGCCCGTAACGCCGAACACTCCGTTTAGGGGGGTCGCCGCCTTGCCGGGGTCGATATCGCCCACGCTGGGCGTAGTGAACTGCTTGCAGTTGTCTCCAGGTATCGAGTTCTCTGGTCCCCCGCCAAGAAGGGTGCTGTACACTGCGGCCTTGATCGTGAGCGGCCGGTCGCCCTTGGAGTACTCGATCGTTTCAAAGATGCGTTGGGGTGGGGTGTCGACGTAGCTTTTCTTCTTCTTCTTCTTATTCGATCGATCGCTGCTGGCGTCGATGAGGTTGGACACGATCTTCTTGTTGAACACTTTGGGAATTTTCTTGAACGAGAGGCGGAGGATGCGGAACGACCGCAGCTCACCGATGCCGAGCGCAAACCCCTTGATGGACCCAAAGATGACTGACAGCAGCGCGTAAAAGATCTGCGCGTCGTACATAAACACAATGATCGCAGGTCCCCAGAGGAAACCAATGTACACGATGTTGTGGTACGACAACTGGATCATAAACTGCGACACTTGCAAGTACTTGACCGGGTCAGATAGCCAAATGAACACGGTCGTTTCCACAAGACTCTTGACCATAAACTGGTAGTTGAACGCCAACTTGCACGCAAACAAGAGCAGCCAAAAGCACATGTACCGGCAGTACGCGGCCGTCGGCACTGGCAGCGACCGCCCCACGAACCCCACACCACAGCACGAAAACATGCGATTTTGCAGCTCCCACACCACGAGGAGCGCAATGAAGGCGCACCCACCGAGGAAGATCAACGGTCCTTGGTCCGATCGCTTGAAATCCAAAAACGATGTGAGCAGCTTGGGCAGCGACGTCGACAGCGTCGCCACGTCCAAGCGACACGCGTCGCAGTTGAGTTTGCCGTCGCCGGCAGTGTTGATCACGGACAGCGCCGCGGCCTTCCACACGGGCATGCACGACGCCTGGTTGTACTGAATCGGCATGTACTTCTTCCTTCCGTCCTCGTCCATCAAGATGTACGTGGCCGTGCCCTTTTGGCCAAAGCATCGATCCAACACACTCAAGTAACAATCGCACCGCCCCGACAACAACTCGATGCACTCCTGGAACGGCACGTCCTGGAGCAGGCTTTTGAAGTCATCCGGGAGGTACTTGAACGTTTTGGACTTGTCAAAATTGACTACCCCCAAGCAAGTCGCGAGTTTCGGGTAGTTGCACGTGCCGTTGGTGAACCCGTCGTTCGGGCCCAGGATCACATCCACGAGGTCCGTGGCTACAAACTTGGGCTTGGGGTTGTAGTAGTACTTTGAAAAGACCTTGACTCCCGAGCCTAAGTCGGCGCCGTACATGATGGGGCTGTCCGGACATACAAGCACCATGTTGACCGCAAACCCGATCGTAGCAAACATCAAAAACAAGTGCGAGACAAAGATACGTCGAAACGACACGAGCGCGCGCACCCAGCTGCGGGTTTCCTTGAACGTCTTCTTGACCACGTTCGGGTTGCCCTTGTTGTTGGTGCTCGTGAACGCGTCGGCGATCGTGGCTTCGTTGTACTTGAGGCACGTTTTCGTCCAAAAGAACTCGTTGAAGTCGTCGTAGTTGCGGATGTCCGTGTGCGGGGCGCGAGCCCCCATCGGCGTCTTCTTGTCGTTGTCTTTCTTGACTTCGTTGTACATGGGGCGGATCACACTGGCCAAGAAGTGCCCCGGCGCCTTGGCCGTGCCCGCATTCGCTTGAGGCGCCAAGTTATGGAAGAGAAAGCACAGCAGCTCAGGCGTTTGCCGGAAGTTGCCGGCTTCACCCCAGATGAGGAAGAACAGCACAAGGTCGGCCAGCGGTTCGCTGAGAAACTTGGGCGGCTGCGAAATGTACTTGCACCACTTGGTGTAGTTGTCTAACAACCGGTCGTGCAAGTTCGACACAGCCTTTGCGACCAAGTCGGCCTCGTTCACGTCCGCCCCTGTGGCCATTTTGAGCGACGACGGGTTCGCGTACTCTTTGAAATTCGCCAGAAGCAGCACCAAGTGCTCCCGCTGGCAGTGGACGCTGCTTTCTTGAAAGCCAAACGCAGTGCGAAACTTGTCGAAGATGTCCCCGTACGTTGGAGAACTAGACCAAAACCACGTGAGAGACTGGCTACATGGCGATATGCCAGGCGTACTTGGTGAGCATGTGCATAATGCCGCGATATCGCACGGGCAAATTGTCCATTTCCAAGATGTTGAATTTTCCCGACGACTTTTTCAATACCGCGCCAGATACCGCCTTCCCTCGCTGGCCTTTGATCATCGTCACGTAACGCGACATCTTGTTGTTCAGACGAGTCGCTGCTTCCTGGTCCTCCATCGTAGTATACTTGAATGCAAGAACGCTCTCCATGATCTCTATAGCTTGGTCGAAGACGGCGTCAGCCCCGGCCTGGTTGCCTCCGTTTTGCATCGACACTGCCGAGTTGACCAACGCCATGGCATTGTCGCACAAGGCTTTTTGCCTTTGGAGGTCATTGAGCTGCTCGCTCGCCATGGATTACCAAGTAGCTTGTGCGGGCCACCACGTGCGGGCCTTTAAAGTCGAATGCAGGAGTCGTCTTGGGTGTTGTCCTTCCAAGAGCTATCCTTCGAAACTCGAAAACCAATGAAATCAGTCCTCCTTACAACCTGGCACAAGAATAAACCAGTTCACAATCGATCAGTGGGCGGATCCTTGAATCAAGCGAAACCCCCCATTTATAACGTTAGATATATATATTATATATATTCATAGGTTCCATGCGAACCTTCTCGCTCTCGAAAAGTGCAATCCGACTGACGGTGCGAAGCAACCGCGGGCGTCACCACCACCGATGCGTTCAAGGCTTCTACGCCACATAACACTCCCATAGAGACCAATCGCATGCGCGTCTCCCCATTACCCCGAGCACAAACATAAAGCTGTTGTTCTGTTGTGAAGTTACCTCGTTGTCTCATCTCTGTTCGTAGACACCAACCTACTTGCCTATTTTACGTATGAGCCTTGTTCTAGACGTTAACGTTAGCAAGATGTTTGCATGAGAAACCGAGACTGTATTAGACACTGCGGAGAGTACGCGGGTGGTATAACGTTAGTACGTATGTTGCCGCCACTTGCCCTGAGACCTTTCACATTCCCGAATTGTCATTGGGATATACCGGTATTGAAACCACGATCCCGCGGTTAACTGCCTCGCTAATAGTGGTTACTACAGTCTGCAATCGGTTAAGAGGTGAGGTGGAACGACTGTACAAAGTACCATATCAACACTCAAATTGAAGTGTTTCCTGAGAAAAACAACAGTGAAACTGTATTAATGATGTAGTACGTACTAATCAAAACAGAATTTGAAGTCCGCGGTGAAATGGACCACCCCAAAATTGAAAGACGCTGCTGCCTAACTCCGTGTATCGCGCTCTGGGCGTCGCCGCGACAGCGTACGTCGCGCACTATGTCAACATATCTGTGCCCGAGTGGGTTGTAGTCGACGTTCTATGCGTTCTTCTCGACGACCGCGGCCACTCGAACACCATCGAAATCACCCAGCCGCTGCAAGTCGCCGGCCAACTTGGATCTGGCAGCCGCAGACGAGTGGGCATGTGGGCCTCAGCAGCACGCCGTGGCATGAAGTTGGCCGGTGCGACATGCAGCGGCTGGGCGATTTCGATGTTCGAGTGACCGCGGTCGTCAAGAAGACAGTATAGAACGCCGACAACAACCCACCCGGGCACAGATATGTTAGCGTACTGCGCGACGTACGCTGTCGCGGCGACGCCCAGAGCGCGATACACGGAGTTAGGCAGCAGCGTCTTTCAATTTTGTGGTGGTCCATTTCACCGCGGACCTTTAAATTCTGTTTTCATTAGTAAGTACTACATCATTAATACAGTTTCACTGTAGGTGATTATTTGAATTTAATACTCCTTGGAATAAAAAGTAATAATTAAATTTTATAACAAATACTTATTCATACTTCGGAGGTATATAAGTTGAAGCAAAACTACGGGAAAAGTAAGATATTATCCGGATACGAAAGAGAATCCTGGGACAGTTTGCGAAACGAACCTCGGGAGGGCGGCGCGACGCATGTGGAAATCCACTCGGGACAAGCATGCTGCCACCTCGTCGAGCACGAGTGCCAGCGTGTCAAGCTCGTCGTCTTCCGCTGCGACGAGTGGCACGAATGTGTCGGCAAGTGCTGCGATCGCCCGTCGCGGCAGCAATCCACGAGTGACCCCGTCCAAAATCCCTGGAAAACCAGCTAGCAAACTCAAAGCCCCGACGACGCAAGCTATTGCCGAGGTACGAGCTTTCCCATGCGATGAGTGATCCATGTGATGTATATGCGATAGAGGAATAGTAGCTGTGCGAGTAGTCGTCCCTCATGTGCTATCTATCGTAGATTGAACAAAAGCGCGAAGATCGCAGAAAAGCCATGGCGCAAGTGAAAAAAGAGCGCGACCACGAAAACATGCTGAACGAGCAGAACGGAAACCCCGGCGATGTGGACTTTCAACGCATGATCAAGCAATTCCGCGACCAGGACCACCAAGAGCAACCGTATGCGACCAAGGCCAACGTGCAGATCACGATTTGCGTGCGCAAGCGACCCGTCAACAAGCGCGAAGTCAAGGGCAAGGACTACGACTGCGTCACGTGCTGGCATCCCAAGGTACTGACTGTGGTTGTGCCCTGTCCCCACGACGACCTGTGTGTGCGTAGGTGATCATCCACGACTGCAAACTCAAGGTGGACGGGATCACCAAGTACCTGGACAGCAACGCATTCGAGTTCGACCACAGCTTTGACGAGTTCACGTCCAATGAAACGGTGTACAAGTACACGGCGCAGCCTCTCATTCAGTTTGTCTTCAATGAATGTGGCCGCGCAACTGTGTTTGCGTACGTGTTCAGAGAAGTTGCTCTGGGAATTTGCAATATATCGCACAATGCATTGTGGAATGATCTAGTATTAATATATTGTCGATTTGATATACAAATTTGGGGACGGGGTGCAATCGACCAAATAACCGATCCACAATCGATCTGATTGGTTGTTGAATTTCATTGAGTGAGTTTTGATTGGCTATTAATTTTGAGCTCATCTGAGGTAGCCAATCAAAGCGATTTAAATTCCAACGAGAAACCACGCCACGAAATGAAAGCACAAATATCGATGGATTATCTATTTTGTGATTCAGTATAAATCGATCCTGGTCGTTTATATATTTGTGAATACTGTCAATTTCTAATATTACTGGTCGTGATGCGTGTAGATATGGCCAAACGGGAAGTGGAAAGACGCACACGATGGAAGGCATCCAGCGGCAGGTGGCGACGGACATTTTCGCTGAAATTGCCAAGTTTCAATCCCAGTACGACAAGTTCACAACGAGAATGCGTAGGCTCATTATTCGTACATATATGTAGCGACCGTCCGTTGGAAGTATGGCTGAGTTTCTTTGAAATCTATGGCGGCCAGTGCCAAGACCTGCTGCGGCAGAAGAGGCTGACGATCCGCGAAGACGGGAACGGCGAAGTTCAAATCGTCGACTTGGACGAAGTGATCGTCACGGACGAAGCGGAGCTGCTGCAGATCATGCAACGAGGTGCGTATTTTGGCTGTTCACTGCTTTGAACTGTCACTGGATTGAAATGTCCATGTCACTGCATTGAAGTGTCCATTTCACTGCATTGAAGTGTCCATATCACTGCATTGAAGTGTCCATGTCACTGGATTGTCCATTTCACCTGATGAACTGTCCACATCACTGCATTGAAATGTCCATCGCATGGGGATAGGCAATGCGTTGCGCACGACGCACGCGACCGAGATGAATGACCAGTCGTCGCGGTCCCACAGTATCTGCCAGCTAAACATTCGTGAAAAGGCAAGTTTAAAGCTCCACGGTACGTACGATCTATCTCGTGAGTCGGGTGTTGACATGACTGAATATGATAGGCAAACTGTCCCTGATTGACTTGGCTGGAAGTGAACGGGGGGCCGACACGAAGAGCCACAACCGCCAGCGCCGCATGGAGTCGTCCGAGATCAACAAGAGTCTGTTGGCGTTGAAGGAATGCTTTCGGTACTGTTCGACCGAGGCTTTAAGAAGTACTCACACGGGGGAATCATTTACATGTAGAGCGCTCGACAGTGGAGGACGCGGCGCGCATATTCCCTTCCGAGCGAGCAAGTTGACGCAAGTGTTGAAGGATTCGTTTGTGAATACCAAAGCCAGGTATATATATATACATATATTGGGTTTTTTGAATGGTCGTGGGTAGAACGGTGATGATTGCCGCCGTGTCGCCGTGTGTGTCGTCGGCCGATCACACGATCAACACGCTTCGGTACGCCGATCGGGTCAAGGAGAAGCAGGTATCGGATGACATTGCCGACGTGTCCCAAGTCAAGTTCAGACCACTAGGTAACTCCTTACGATCTTGGACGGATGGGGGTGTATGTAAGTACAAGGACTCTGACACGAAAGTAGACTCGTCATCGATTAGTCCTGGCACGAGTCCAGACAAACCGCCGACGGGGAACTCGTTGGCGGACCTGATGTCACAGGCTGTGTGCCGCAATATTGCCGGCATGGCCGCCAAGGACAGCGACGAGTCGCCAGAGGAGGGGCGGCCGACGATGGACAAGGTCACCGACGAAGATGACGACGAGTTGAAACAAGATGATGCGTGGCCCCGTCGAAAGGATTCGAGTTCAAGTCAAGACGACATCAAGCTCTTGCACAGCTCACTACGCCGCCAATGCCGTACAAACTCCATACATGCATACATGCATAACGCACATGGTAGGGGACCGGGGCGAGGGAGACAATTCATTGGAGGAGCTGCATGGAGTGGTATATATATATATACTATATATATAATATATATATATATACCTGTGATACGTGTGGATTGATGTTTTGGTGATGGGTATAGGTGCAAACATTGTACGAGGAGCAAGAAAACTTGTTGAGCAGTCACATGAGTGCGATCCAAGTACGTGGGTTTCCACGGTGTAGCTACCTAGCCCTGACAATGAGTGCAGGAGAATGCCCAACTGCTGACGGAAGAAGGGATGCTGCTGTCGGACGTGCAGGGCGATGCCGTCGTGGACTACGACATTGACCTGTATGCATTGAAATTGGACCACGTACGTTCCGCTAGATCACGATACGAGATGGATCATGATGATGATGGTTGCGCACGATAGATTCTCGAGCAAAAGGAGCACACGATCAAGCGACTTCGCAAGCAACTGGCGCTGTTCCGCCGTCGCTGCCAAGACGAGGAGAGCGCGTCCAAGAATGTCGACCACGTGTCGTTCTACTGACAAGCCGTCGACTAGTTGTTCCACCAGACATGGCGCCCTTCCTTCATACACGACATCTAATGCAGATGTATTCATTCGACTCGTTGTGGGAAGTTGTTATGAGGTTACAAGGACAACGAATGAAGTGAAAGGTGTCGAGTTAGATATTATTCTACCGCTCTGGTTGCCGTCGACATGGTGCACACATGTACGGGGACTTCAGCAGCGGGACGACTAACGGGATTAAGCCGACTTCTTGGGGGAAGTTGGGGTCTTGAGTTGGTTGTCGGCCACCTTTTGCAACACGGCAGCGGTGACGTCCTTGCCTACGTCGGCGGCGAGGCCAGAGAGGTCCCCAACGACCTTGCCGCTGTTGTTCTTGATGTTGTTGATGGCACCGTCAATGGTGGATTCGTGGCGCTTCAAGAACGGTTGCAACAGGTGGTTGAAGACGAAGGTCGCGCCTTGGGTGGAGGGCATGAACAACCAGACCAAAAACCCAAGCTTAATTGCGTAGTAAAACGGGATGAAGTAGAGCAGGAAGTCGACAAACACTTCCACAATTTGGAACATGCTGTACACGACCCAGTACGTGAGCCATTGGGTGTCGTCGTTGGAGTTGTCGCTTTCAATAGCCTTGAACGACTCGTATGCCGGGTACACAAACCCGACCAAGTTGCACAACAGCCCCGCGCCAAAGCCGAACAACACAACCACGAGGAGGACGAGGGAGCCGCCGGCCGCCAGGTACAACTTGTCCACGCCCGTTTGCTTCTCCGCTTCCACGAGGAAGGGGAGCTTGTTGAGCTCCACTTTGATCTTGTCAGCGTACGCTTGGACTTGCTCCATGATGGTCAATTGTCTTCGAGATTGAGAATTCCACACTGACCGCAGAAGGGAGAAAAGCCCCCGATCCTGAAAAGGTGCTATCCTTGGGCGAGCTGAATTTTATACTGTCTCATACAAACCTCTAGGTATTATTATAGGTGCAGCGAAAAGAACCACCATCTTGGTTCAACATCCGGATAATTGTGCTGAAAAAGGCCATGGGAGGCCAGATTTTCCGGAAAAAGTGAGATGGCACTTCGCAAAATGAGTGGTTGGGTTTCTATCTTTACATGTTTGTTTCTCGTCCATTTATAGAACCTGCTGCCTTGCCTGGGGGGGACTCTGAGGCGCACCAAAGGAGAGCTTAACCCCCATTACGAAGCTTACCAACAGGGCGCGATGGCAATGGGAAAGGGTGCATTTGATGTGCTTAGACAAGCCTGTTGCGATTTCATTCTGTACAATCCCATTGGTTAAAATCTGGACTATAATTAGCAGTGGCCAATGAAATATCGTCCTTTGGTCAGTCATTTAAAATTCACCAAGGGGCGACATGTGAAAACGAGAATGTCCTAATTAGGAACAGTGTTTACGAAACAATGAGTGTATGTCTTTTTCATTGACAAAGGATGCCCATGGATTGTTCGGATGACCCCCCCCTGCCAAGATTGAGAAGCCATTGACCATTTCGTGTTGCAGCACTGATGTTACTACTACATAGTACTACGTAGTAGTGATTGTGAATTCGCTAGTAACTTCCAAAACACGCGTGGTTGTCTATTCAAGACAACCACGCGTGTTTTGGAAGTTACTAGCCTATTCAAGATTGAATCACGGCGGAAACTTCTGACTGGCTGGCTACATACATTTGTCCTGTCCTTTCTGTAAGAGCCAATCAGATCCACTCAAAATTGGATTAGCCAATAGCGTCGATTCGTGATTCGATTCGGCGGCGTGATTCGATTCGACGGGGTCTGGAAATTTGTACCGAATCCACAATAACATGATGTTGCTTTCATTGATTTTTGACGACATACTTGGGAGAAAGCTTGCCCGACGTCGCACTCTTGGCTGTTCGATACCACACCAAATGCAAACGATCTGGTAAGTCATATATCACGCGTTATGTAAATCGCAGCCCCCATCCCCTCATTTATTCAGCGATATCTATGACGTTTCCCCACTAATTCTTTCTTAGGGTATAGATACCCTAAAATCACTACGGCATTGGGTTCCGGTACAGTCATGCTTCGAAGTATTTGAGTGTGTGGAGACGACTACTGTACAGTACACTTAGTTCTATGGGCAATAGAGCAGCTACGATATCGGCCTTGCTTTTGGAAGTCCCAATTTACAGTACCTACTGTACTATGGTACCGGTAGTTCGAGGCTGATCGATTGAACTACAATCATGGTATTTGACGGTACAAATATTGCGCCAAGGTTTCATGCTACATGGAATTTACGACCAGCACTTTCTAACAAATCTAATTTCCTGACTTACAGTTACAGTACTGTAGGTAATCCGAAACGCGGTTAGGGCAATGAATGAATGTCAAACATTCAAGAGTGTATGTTTGAGCATTTCATCCCTTTCCAACAAGCAAAAATGTCCGTTGAACGCCGGCCGCCGATGGAGTTCGTGGAAGCAATCCATGCGCGTCTACGTGAAGAACTCGACAGTTTGAACATTCCACTGCTGGATTCCCTCGAGGAGCAGACGGGTGTGGACAAGGTTGTGCTCCTTGGACTGGTATCTGTCGTACTGAGCATGGTCCTCGTCGGCGGGGCTGGCGCCGGTATCGTGTGCACGACTGTGAGCTTTGCCTATCCTGGGTATGCATCTTTCCGCGTCCTTCAAAAGCCTGCCGTCATTCGGGCCGGGGAGGTTCGACTGTGGCTCATGTTTTGGATCGTGTTTGCATGCGTCAAGTTCGTCGAAGTGTTTGCGGACAAGGCATTGGCGTCACGGGTCCCTTACTACCACATCCTCAAGATGTGCGCCATCCTCGCGCTGTTTGTGCCATCCACGAAGCGAGCCACGTCGTTCTACACGCGCTTCCTCGTGCCCTTCGTCAAGCCCAACGAGACCGACGTGGACAAACTCGTGCGCGAAACCCAGTTTGAAATGGACCGCGTCGCCGCCAAGATTTACAACACCGATGGATTCCAAGGCGTGCTGAAACTGTTCAAGTCTAAACCTGAATAAACAAAACTGTTATACTGGTGTATCAAGACACCTTCGTTCCATTCATTCTCAAAGCACATCTAGAATTACGTTGCCATATTGCCGTCATCCATCGCATTCTGTACCCCTACAACGCGATTCCCCATGTACATCATGTGGACGACGATTTCAACGGAGATCACACTACATAGTTAGGCATACCCCCACTTCGCACTACAGTACTGTACGTGGCACTTCATGGGCAGATAACGTCGACAGGGAATCGCATGATGTGAGTGATACAAACATGACATATGATCAAACCATTCTCCGTCATGGGCTTATTGTACCAACACGTGCATGCTCCTTCATGCACGTCCTCGCAAGACGCCTCGCAATGTTCCATTGTCCCGCTTTGACTTATTTTTCGAATGGAACGATTTGAATGGTCCGGCTACAGTAGTCTCACATGTGATTGGCTAAAATTCGATCGCCGCATTTGACACCACAGAAAATAAAGTGACTGCTGAATTTTTCCTTCCTTGGCTGGCTCAACATGATGATGCTTGTTCGGCTGACCCAACGCACGCTGCGCAAGCAACCAGCGTCCTTGATGGCATTCGCCGTGGAACCTCGTGCAGCCGAAACCTCATCGGCCTCCATGGGTGTCCTCGTCGGCGCATCGGCGTTGATGTTGGCGTCGTCGTTCTCGACCACCACGGCGTCTAACGACCACGCGTTGAACCCGAACGAGTGGCGGTCGTTCCGTGTGTACAGCAACGAACAGCTGAACCACAACACGCACAAGCTGCGCCTGGAGTTCCCGGAGGAGAACCAGACCAGCGGCTTGACCGTCGCGTCGTTCCTCCTCACGAAGGCGCACTTGAACGGCAAGGCGGTGATCCGCGCGTACACGCCGACGTCTGCGAATTCGCAAAAGGGCCACTTGGAGCTGATCGTCAAGGGTTACACCACGGGTACGATGAGCAAGCATCTCGTGGGTTTGAAGGCCGGCGACCACATCGACGTCAAGGGCCCGAACATCAAGTTCACGTACAAACCCAACTCGCGCAAGCACATTGCGATGGTCGCGGGCGGCAGCGGCATCACGCCGATGCTGCAAGTGGCATTGGAAATCCTGCGTAACCCCGAGGACAACACGGACGTGACGCTCATCTTCGCCAACGACACTGAAGAGGACATCCTGCTCCGTGACGAGCTGGCGTCGTACGAGCAAATCTACCCCGGGTTCAAGGTCATCAACGTCCTGAGCAAGCCGTCCGAGTCATGGACCGGCTACTCTGGCTACATCACCAAGGATATCTTGGAGAAGCACCTCCCTGGTGCGTCCGCCGACAACCTCGTGCTCGTGTGCGGCCCGCCGGGGTTCATGCTTGCCGTCTCGGGCGGCAAGGCCAAGGATTTTACCCAAGGCCAGGTCGAAGGCTACCTCAAGGACCTCCACTACTCGTCCGAAACTGTCTTTAAGTTTTAACTTCCGCAATAAGTACAAGTGCCTTTGGGGTGTTAAATCTCAAGTGTCTCGTGCAGCACCTTGAGCTTCTGTCACTTCGCGGAGCCGTCGTTGATACTTCATCGTTGATGCCTACGATATCGTCTACTGTATATATACATCCCGTGCCTACGTAGTTGTTACCTTGAGCAAGTTCTTCAGCCCCACGACCTCTTCCTCGAGCATGATCGTCTTGGTCGACAGTTGGACGCAGCGCCGTTCCGTGGCCTCCACGGTTTGCATGTGGCTAGCCTTGATGCCTCGCAGTCGTTCTTCTAGCTTGGCGATCTGGGCTCTCAACTGCTGGCCATTCTCGTCGTAGCCAGAGCGTCGTTTATCGGTTGCCTGATCGTTCTCCCCTTTAGATGACACCGGCTGCGCTTGCATGGTGGCTTTGAGTTCTTGCAGTTGCGCCACAAGCATCTCCTGCATTCGCTTCATCTCGTCCTTGGTCTCGTCGGTACTTTTGTCCGCCAAGAGCCGCTCGTTCTGTAGCTGCAACTGGTCCCTAGACGCGATCGCCGCGTCCAACTGCGTCCGGACGGCCGCCACGTCCCGCTCCTTCGCGGCCAGCATCCCGTTGAACGTTTCCGCGGACTGGAGGTTCTTCTCCAGCTGCAGCCGCAGCTCCTGCGTGCATACTTCCACCTTGGCCAACATCCGACGGCGCTCCATATCACTCACGTCGCTCTCGGCCGCCGCCTCTTGACTCCACATGTCCAAATCTCCAGGCGCGTCGTCGACTTTCTGGGGCATGTTGATGAGATCGAAATGGGTTCTTGAAAGACATGTACCACATGGTTGTCATCAAGGATGCCCTGTAACTGCATAGTCCTGCGGTACAACACTTCGTAGCGCCCGCCCCACGACGCCTGGCGCGCCTCCAACGCCGCCAGTCGCTCAACGAGCTCCCGCTCCCTCGTCTCAAACGACAGAGTCCACGCCGCCCTGGCTGCCGCCACGGGTGCTTCCTCCCCTTCGTTCCCACTGGCGGTGGTAATCGGCTTGTTCCCAAACAACGAGTTTAATCTCAAACGATACGACGCCGTCTGGGCCTCCATCTCGGCGGCTTCCCGAGCCCTATTAACACGTGAATGCGTTGATCGTTCGTTGTTCGAGCCACGTTTCTAGTGTCTTTTGCACATGCACTTTGTCGCCTAGACAATGGAATCCCATGCTACATCTAGTCGACGAACATGGCAGTGCGGAGGTCAGCAGCTTCCGTCGATCTCTTGGCCAACGACCGTTCCAAATCGTCTAGTTGCCGGCGGGATTGACGCGCCTACGTCAGCACCCCCGGTGACCTCCATCGATACCCATCCAACGATATACACCAGTTCCTACCATGCATTCCATTTCACGGATACGCTCCTCCAGTGACGACTCTTTGGCCTAGACACCCCCACACTTAGGTGCAAGACGCGTTCACACTTAGATGCAAGACACGCCACAGAAAGGTCGTTTTACCATACTGCGAGCTACTTGGTCCTCCGCCGCTTGCTTTAACGCGTGTACTTGTGCATGGTGAGCTACCGCTTGCTCCTGCGCCGCCTTTTCAAACTGCACTTGTCTGGCTTCCACCTCCACCGCCAGGCTTTTGAGCTGAAACTCCAACGCCACCTACGTCCGACCCTGTCAATTCCAGTACCAACGCACCCAACCCGCATACCTTTTCCTCGTACAATGAATGCCCCCGTGCCTTTTCTGCGGCGACCAGCCCCATCAGCGCTTGCTCTTGGACTGTTGCTTTGTCCATCGCTTCCCGCAGCTTTCGCTCTCGCTCCAGCCCGTCCGCCTTGGCCTTTTCCAAATCGTCCACGGCCTACTTGTATGTTTTTCATGTCTACGATTCGTCGTGTTTTTGTTCCATTAGTCGTCGTACTGCTGCGAGCTGGGTTTTCTGGTTCACCAACGTGAGCAACTCGACGCTAAGTTGCTGAGCTTTGCCTGACTTGGCCTGCAACGCTTTGTTGGCCGCCACAAAGTTGGCCTTGAGCGCGACAAACTCGATCGCAAGTTCCTTCTTGTCGGCAGTGGCGGCGGCGGCCGCATCTTGGGCGGCGCGAAGTAGAGTGTCATGCTGCTCTTCCCGCATTTGGAGCTCGAGGAGGTCGTTTTCGGCGTTGAGCAACTTGGTCGTGAGGTCGAACTTGTCCTTTTCCACAGCTTCGAGCATCGTGCTGTGTTCGAGTTGGCAGTCCACCAGCGCTTTGCTCAGACTGAGCTTCTCTCGCTCGCGGTCCAGCAATTGTTTGCGCAGCCCCACTTCCGCCTCGACGAGCCCGGCGACTTTGGCGCGAGACTCGCTCAAGGCCTTGACGTGGCCATCGATCGTGTCTTTCAATTTCGACTTGTCGATGCTGTCTTGCAGCAGTTTCCCCTCCAACTCGTGCGCCTTTTGCACTAGCGCCAACGTCGACTGCGACCCGTCGTTGGTGTCGTGGTATGTACTGTTGCTTTGTGGCACCTTGGTCTTCCAGTACATGCGCTCGGCATGGTGGCGGCGGCGCTACAGACGAAATGTAGTCAGGACAACATATCTACGGTTGGCAACATCACAGCAGGCAACAAGCAATTGCCCAGTCATGTGTGATGTCCAAACAAATAATAGGATAGAAGATAGGACGATGTGGGCTTGTACTGTACCAAGCCTTGGACAACATCCGAGTGCGCAAGAGGAAACGTGCGCATGCGCTGCAGCATGGACGCCACTTGCCCCGTGGCTTTGGCGCCTTCGTGGTCGTTAGGGGCAACAAACAGCAGTGCCTACATGAATCAGTACAAAATGAATATCCACGCCATTTGAGCACCACTTCCTTGCTTTGGAAAGCAGCAATCCCAAATCAAGCGAACGTAGGTACTAGAGTATGAGGGTACGATGATATATTGTCCTACATTGGTCAAGGCATCACCGCCGAGGGCTTGCTGCAATGAGCGCGTCAACAAGGATGCGTCATAGGGCGGGAAGGACGCGGCGGACGCCGCGGCTTTGCACACCGACTCGAACGCGTACAAGGACTTGTTCAACAGCGGACCTTCCGTGAGCCGCACCGCTGTCGGCACCTGATTATGGACCAATGTGATATGACAATGCACGTATCCGTAGGAAGTTGCAGACTAATATTACGAGGATGGGCTTACCTTGGCCAGTCGATCGAACGGTGGCAAGTCGACAATGTCCAGCGTGGACAGTACCACTGGGCCATCCGAGGTTGGCACTTGCTTGATGTAAATCTACGGCAGAATCTCTCACCCCACCGACGAAATACATGTATGGACACATACACGAAAGATGGCGCTGGTGAAGTCCGTAGATGGACCAAGTGACGTGGCAGCACTGCGTCGACGCCGCCGCCCGTCCTGAACGGCCGTCTGGACGTCCATGGACGACTGAATCGGTCCGACTTTGGTGGCGTTCTTAAAGTCCACGCCTGCGTATTCGTCTTCCCGCAACGCCAGCATGGGTGGTGACGACCCTGTTGGCCCTTGTTTTGAGGCCAGTAGATCCTACCAACCTGGTGACGACGATATGGAGACGACATGGTCTCGGGTAGTACCGTGATCGTTTCTTCGTAAAATTCAACAAACGAGAGACGCACAAAGTACCGAGGAGTGTGAGGCGAGGGGTTCCCGCCACTTCCATGTTTGTCGGCGAGGTGCAGCAGAAGATGTTGCAGCATGGTCAAGGCAAGACCAGCATGCGCAGGGGCTTTGTCACTACCGTGGAAGAACGTGCTTCGAAGCGTGTTGGATGAGCCGCCGCATAGCAAGCAGGCGTTCACGCCATCAACACAGGCAGTCAGAAGGGAGTTGAGTGCATGTTCTATAACGTCGACTTCGTCTGCGTTCTGGAAGACGTGGTCGACTGTTAAGGTCTAAACCAGTTGACAGTGAGACCAAGGCTGCATGGCGTAGTAAGGCACCGTGTACCTCACTGCTGTTGCCTTGTTGCGATATCGTCACTCGAGAACCGTCAATGTTCACGGCTCCAACGTCTACCGGGTAGATGTGTGAAGGTGGCCATCGTCGAAAGGTCAACATACCTGACACTGGGCCAACGCGCAATGCGTCACACTTGTACACATACACCTACAAGCAGGTTGAGTGTCCATCCTCATTTGCATGCACTGGGAGTACGGGAATGGGAACGCCCGTCGGATCGTAGTCGTCAGGCGGCTCCATCGTGCAGGCTGTGCTGCCGCTTCGGCGGTTTCAGGTTACGGCCCGGCCATTGGTCCATTGTTGAGCTAAAATGTGGAATGTTGGTTTTACAGCGGCAAGGCAAAATCGGAGTGTATGTCTATCAACCAAGAAGGAGAGTTCAGCAACAGGAGCATGGACGAAGGAAACGTGGGCGATGGCGAGTCGTGGTGGCAGCTCCAGTGCTGCAATGACGACCAAATGCAATCAATCTTTGTCATCGTCGGATACACCATCCTCATCTTCAAACTGTATGCTCCGTTGCCTTGACCCACGACCCTCATTTCCCCGCTAGGTGGCGATTTCCGCTCTTGCATCCGTTCAAAATCCTGTACGTCCGTCATTACTATCATGTCATCATGTGTGGTCTCTAGGACGGTCTTTTTGCACGAGTTGGGACATGCGCTAGCAGTCTGGATGACCTGCGGCAAAGTCACGTCCATGGAAGTGCACCCGAACGAGGGTGGCGTCACGAGTTATGCTGGCGGGGTGGCTCTAGTTATTGTTCCAGCGGTACAACGACTGTCCACTCAATATGTCATGCTTCGTGATAGGGCTACTTGGGGTCGGCTGTCTGGGGCATGGCCTTCGTCGTTGCCAGGTACACATCAATTTTGGTCCTAACTCTCCATCACGACAACTGCCTTAGTCCCGACCGCCTCGCTGCCGAGATCGCCGCGGGCATCCTCATCTTGTTCCTACTTATCTTTATCTACTACGCCAAAAACGCGTACATGCGATGGCTCAACGCAGGTTTCATCGTGATCCTGGGCGGGCTCATCGCGCTCGACCGCGCCGTCCCCGGAGGTGCCTTCGCCCTTCGTTACGTCATTCTGTTCATGGGGGTCATGAGCTGTCTGTTTTCCGTCTATGACATCTGGGACGACTTGATTGCTCGGCGTATCAACGACAGGTACAAACTGGCCTCAACCGCCGTCGTTTCCTCTATGTGTTGTTCGTAGCGATGCCTCTGTGTTTGCAAAGATGACTCACACGTCGTCTCGGTGCTGGGGGGTCATCTGGGGGCTGTTCGCACTGGGTACGATGGGGGGCGCCGTGTACCTGAACCTGCTCGTCATCCAGCACGTGCTCCCTGGTCCGTCCATCGCGTCGATTCACGAGCTCAGCGGCGCCACGACCGCCGCCCTCGTCGTGGCGGCGTCTGTCCTGGGCATTGGGGTCCTGCACACCATCGTTACCCGTCGATGTATGTCCATTGGTTTTCCCATCGCAATACGATCATGTGGATGTATGTATGTAGGCATGGTACAATCGGGTTCGAATCAACTTGGATATGCCCAAGCCCCCTAAGCTGTACAGCAGCTAGTATTATCATCACCATCGGACTTGTTCCATCATAGCAATACACATGCGTGTATAACGCTATTTCCAAGTTATGCTGTGTGATCTTTGCATGTGGCAGAATACACACTCGACGAGCGCTGCGGTTGCTTGAGCATTCGAAACGCATTGTCTTGAGCCCGAGAGTACACTTGGACAAACGACGGCGGCACTCCGTCCACGAGCACATTGGGCGGAAGGATGCAGCTGTCCTGGCCCGACATCCCCCCGTCATGAAACATGGCTAGGGACGGATCTGGGTTCACTTCAAGCATCACCACACGCGAGTGGTCGTCCATCTACCGGTAGTACAGAAGCAACTCGTTGAAAACTCGACTTGGTTGTGGCCATATAGACATTCGTGTCCATTTAGCCACAACACGGTAAACATGCAGTAGATAGACCCTTACAATCATATCGTACCATGAAATCGACGCCAAACAGCTCAAAGCAATTGGACACGCTGAAAAAGTGGCGTCGGTTGCTCCCGACAGCGCGAAACATGTGTCTGGAGATGCGATGGACTTGGTCCATCACGTTGGCCACAATATGTGCGGGGAAGACGTCGGACAAAAGCCGGTTTTGCGCGGCGGCGTCGTACTGCGCATTGCGTGCTTGGTTGATGCCCATGTTGGTGATGTGGACGAGGGAGTTGTCCAATGCCTCGACGGAGAACGGCGCCGACGCCACCAGCACGCGGCATCGATCGTACACGTACACGTCCAAGTGACCCACCTAGACAACACGACCAATCTTTCGTGTCTATTGGTCGAGTAATTCTGCCGCGTACGGCGAGGACGAGGACTCGGAGATGGAACTTCTTGCCGTCGAGGAGTGTCGACTGAACGTACTTTTGAACGACGCGGGTTTGCCTGCGACAGACAAGGTGGACATGGAGATGAAAACGAGGCATGGTGTTGGAAGTGGATGTGTGATGTACATACCCGTCGCCAAGGATGGGCGCCATGGACGCGACGTCGGTGCGATGGAAGAAGTGAATACCAAACGCATTGCTCGAGTCGCTCAGTTTCAACACCCACAAGTCGTTCGCTGAGCATTTGTCCTCTTCCTCCATGAAATGGATGATCTGATTGACGTCCTCCATTGACGACACGACAAAGGTCCGCGGCATGTGCTCGGCGGCATACAACGGCAACAAGTCCTTTCGGATCAAGCCACTTCGCATAAAGTACTTGTCTGACGTCGCCGCATGTCAAACAACATGCGAAACATGAGCATGGACGAGTACCTGCATGGACGTTCTTCTCAAGGACCTCCTGCCAGGGAATGTCGCGCCACTTCCTGCCGAGTTCGTGCTTGAGCATGACGGAATTTGTCGCAATGTTTCGATGAAAGATCCAAAAGTTGATGGTATCCGGATGATTGTGGTACGAACATCCGAATACCACCACAGAAAAAACCGGTGAAATTTGAAACTCCGGAGGTCATTGAAAATGAACGACGTGGTTGCCGCCAAGCTGAAGGAAGTGACCAAGATAGTGCAGATGACACCAGACCTGCCCGTGGTACGTCATTCCGCGGCTACCATGAAGTTTCACTATGCCAGAAGGCCTCTAACGCATACCATGCCTTGCACAGCCCCCCATCCCCGAGCCCCCGAGGCGGACGAGCAAGGCAAGTAGCAACGTGCGCACAAAGATGGCTGCCATTCAAACTTACATGAATGCCCTTGAATACAACTACACTGGCAAGATGTACTTTGACGTGAGCAAGAACCGAAGCCACAAGAGCATCTACGGCACCGCGAAAGACATCATCCACGACGCCCTGCCGATTCAGTGCCTCGAAGCAGTGTTCCTTGCAGCGTATTTGACCGCAGGAGGGCCCGAGTACGAAGGCGCGACGTTCAATCACCAGATCGATCGGATCCCCATCAGTTTCAAGACGTCATCTGGTGGTACCACCTTCCGCCACATCGTCCTTGCCATCAAGCACCAGGTAGCTCGATAACGTCCGTCCATGTCCGAGACCAGCTACTCAATCGCGGTTGCTGTGTGTGTTTATCGTACGTAGCATCTGTGGGGGGCCCTTGGGCTGAGCCGTAGCCCCGGACTCATGAACAAGGAGCTCAAATTCAAAGCACGATACAAGCCGCCATCTATAGATTGGCCTTAGTTTCCTCATTCAACCAACTTCGTAGAGCCTCAGCGACCTCGTTGGCAACTTTGTGGAGCAATACACGGCCGTGTGTCATGACGTGATCAAGGTGTACGTGGGCTTTCCATTTAGCCATGACATTCACTCGACGGAGCGGGTCGAATGGAGGGTACTGCTGCTCATCATCCTTCAATCCCGCTTCGTGCATAAAATGTGATGATGAGAGCCTATTGTAGGTGCTTAACATCAAGCTGAGCATCCATCCCTGGGACAACGTGGCTGCCCAGCTCGATCTGTTCACACGAGAGTACTCGGAGCTCATGAGGTACGTAGACCCAAGCGTCGCAAAAGTGTCGAGATGCAGTGTATATATATATCGACTATAGCCATCTCCACCGCGTGGGCGACCTGCCCGACTCCTTTGCCGACAAGTTCCCGCTGCACAAGCCGCCCAAACGGTCCACGTTGTCGTCGCCATCTCGACGCCATCCGCGCGCGCCCGTGTACGAAATGCATGCTTCATGGACGACCCATCCTTCTCGTCGTCGTCGATACCACCACCGAACTTGGTCACCCAAGCGTCGTCGTCTGTAGCGAATGCGATGGCTTTGCCATGGGCGGTGGCGGTGGCGGCGGCGATGTGGAGGAGGATGTTCCGACGACCAAACTGCCCGACTTGCTGCTGCGGGTGACGCCGGAAGTGCTGCACTTCAAGCCCAGCACTGCCGCCGCCGATGATGACACCAACAATCGACCGCCCGACTTGGTCGAATTTGGCTCGGTGAACCTGTACTTGAACAACCTGTCGCGTGTGCATCACCTCGTGGTGTACGTCGTCGTGTCGGACATGTACTTGCAGATTTTGGGCAAACCATTCGTGTTGATTCCAAGCGAAGGTCGCAAGGGCTGCCAGTTCAGCCTCAAACCCGTACGAACATGCAAGCGTGTTTCATGGATGGACGAATGATATGGATGAATTGTGTGGTTGGTGGTGTAGGGCTCGGTCACGTCCACTGCGATTCGACTGGTGCTGCCCGCCAACGTCGCGCAAGAAACGAGTGGTCGAACGGCGTCGTTCCAAGTGCAGTATGCAGTTGTCCAATCTGGCAGTGATACTCCGGTGGCTGTGGCCGACTCTACCCTGCTGGACCGAGCTACGCTGACGATTCCATATGATTGGACGACCATCCATTAAACTGACCAGACAATCGACGCTGCCCCTTAACACGCGAGAGATCTTTTGTACGATTAGCCTAATTATAGAATTCATATTCAAGTTCCCATACATTGGCGTACTGGTATCGTCTTGGAGAGAAGGGAGTATGGAATTGAATGGTCTTGACGGGGTCACCACTGCCGTCCAACTCATCGCGAGGGTGCGCCCCTTACACATAACCGAAACCCAGTGTCCACAGGATGCCCTGAGCATCGAGGTACAGTGAACAACAACCTTGGCATCAACCATGGGGAAGCAGCATCACGACGCCCCATTGTTTACGTGTCGGAGTGTTCATCCATGGTAGGAGGGCGGCATCGTATGGGCGAAAAAGGGGGTGACGAAAGCATTGAATGTCGATGCGATACTGCGCGAGACGGCATCCCAGAGCGACGTGTTTGGCACGGTGCAAGGTAACTAACTAATAGTTGACTGTGTGGAGCCTGTTTCACAAGTATTGTAGGCCATGTGGCTCCCTTCGTTCAAGGCTACGACTGCAGCGTCCTTGCCTAGTACGTCGTAATACCCACAATCAGATTGCCCTTTTGTCTGTCACATGTGGACATGCCTGGAATGATATATTTCGTATTGTGGCTTTAGTGGACACACCGGATCGGGAAAGACGTTCAGTAAGTTTGTTTAACGTTGCGAGACGCCGACATGTACTAAGAGCTCGTCTGAATGTGTAGCCATGGGCGGCGAACGCGTGGCACTTGGCAGCGTAATATCCCCCTCTTCTTTCAAATTGCCGTAGTAGATATGAAAGATTGGCTAGCTGATGGGATGGGATGGGGCTCATTAGGTGAGTGTCGACGACGTGGCCATCAACGACGGATCGGGCCTCATTCCTCGGTTTGTGGAGAAGGTTTTCGAGGCCTGCGACGCCGAGCTCGAGAACGCCCCACACGATACGTTTCAACTGTCGTGCACATATATGGAAGTACGAATACAGACAATCCTTTCGTCATGGGCTGAACCCTCGACCTGTTTAGATTTGCAACGAAAAGATCTACGACCTATTGGCCGTCCAGCCACTAGCCCCATCCCCGCCCCGCTCGCTTCCATCGTCATCAAATTCGCCACCGAAAGGTGCATCATCTCCGCTCAAAACAACCCTCCAAGATACCCCTCGAAGCTCGTGGAACAGCAATCGAACAGCGAAAGAATCGCTGGGGCTGTCTCTCCGACAGCACCCCCTTGGAGATGTGTATGTCCTCGGGCTCACGCGATGCGACATCGTCTCGAGCCAAGACGCGGTGGCACTATTTCACCAAGTAAACGCATTGACATTTGTATTTCTACAGCCTTTCGTGGACCTTCCGCAAAGTATGTACGCCATCTCACAGCCCCGTGTTTCTCCAATCGCAGGCGTGTGTGAATCGCGCCGCCGCAACCAGTGCCAATGAAGCTCCAGATGGTCACACTATTTTTGAACTGTCCCTGAATCGGCAATCCCCCCAGGGGACGCGCGTGAGTCGACTGGCGTTGGTGGACTTGGCGTACGTGTCGTTCATCTTGGTTTCTTCCAGAACGGAAATGAACAGGGTTGTGCAGGGGGTTTACAAAGCCAGTCCAAGGAATCGATCCCCCCGTCAACAACAAGAGCCTCGCGACCCTCACGACGTGCATGACCATGCTGGCCAAGTCGCAGCGACGAATACTCCATGGCAATAGCAGCACCATCATCCCCTTTCGAGAATCGGTCTTGACGCGGCTTCTTCAGCCGTTCGTCCAAGGGGCTAGCCGCGTGACGTTTGTGCTCACGCTGAGCCAGTCCGCCACGTCACTCAACGACACCTGCACCACGCTGCGATTTGCCGAGAGATTGCGCTCAATCTCGTGCAAGCCGACGCGGAATCCCATCGTCCCAGTCGCCCCCACTGCCTCGCTGGAGGCCACCCACGCCATGCAGGTACATATCTGCCGTCAGCCGTCTGTCGTCAACGCCACACGTGCTACGATTGTGTAATCAATAACACCAAGGGGGAACTCAATGGTGCGATGGATAGCTGGAAATGAACCGCCTGCGACAGGCACTGGTGCAAATAACGTGTAAACACGAGGCCGCCGTCGTGCACGATAAGGCACTAATGGCTGAAAATGACCGACTTCGGATCGACTTGCACGCGTCGCAGAGTCTCCTGGATAGGTAGAACAACGATCTACTTCACTTTGTGCACGCACTATTGATATGATGTTCTTTTAGGACCAACCAATCACCGACCCGAGCTGCTGCCCACCACCGCCAACTAGACACGATACCTGACCACAACGCGCCCGACACGTTGGCCACCGACGCCGCAATTAGTGTACACAACCCAACGGTACTTGGCGAACCTAGCCATGCTAACATGCTACCAAAAACGTCCACAACGCCCGTTTGTCCCCCTTCGTTGCCCTACGACCCCCCGCTTCGAAACGGAACCACGATCGACACAAATACCCGTCTGCCACTGTTGATGCCATCCGCCAAGGATTCGAGTATCCGCGCCCCAGGTAGGTAGCCGCCACCGCCCCACGTCATGTCATGAACTGGACGTTTGCGTAGAAACGAGTTTGCCGCTGAGTTTGCAAAAGAAACTCGTGCATGTCCCATTACCCATGCGATTCCAAGCCCCACCCCGTCGACCAGCGCGGAATCTGGTTCCGTCACCCCCCAAGTTGCCCCCTGACACCCCCTCCTCTCGTACGCACCTAAACTTGGTTGTTTTCGAGTACAAACGCTAACACTGTCGTAGTCAAGCCCAATGCTTCTTTGAACAACCACAACGATTTGTTTGCATCCGCGTTACCATTGCTCGACACCAAACTACAGTCCACTCGACCCATAGAGAAACCTTCCCGAAGGTAATACGAGGGCCTGAAACAATGAGAACAATTCTGAGACCAGAAGGACATTCAGCGACGTCTGTAGGCACACCCGTCGTCGTCGCCACACCCGCCACGATGACGAAGGTAGCTCTGTGGCCATGTTGATGTCGACGCCTCGCGCTATGGCCCTTCCCAAGCTACACCCCCCACATCCGCCTATTCTTACATCGTCGCCCCAGCCACCAAAGCCTGTTAACCAACTGGCGGCCCCCAAAGAAGACTCTGCCGACATTGCACGATACAAGGTTCAACGACGAATGGAATTAGAAGCAATGTTGGGCGGGGACTTTTTAGGTTCTCGGGACGCGTACATCTTTTTTTAACCAGAAATGGAAGCAATATGTTTTGACAAAATATTAGCGCGTCGTCATGGCAGTGTCGTGTGCAGGGTGTGTTGGGGGACTTCCGGCTCAAACGCGACGCATCCGCGCTTCTTGCGCACCTTGTCATGTGATCCATCAAAATCAAACAGTATGTCGTGAAGGATGCAGGGCGTACCAAGCACCCGCCGAGGGTGGTGCTTCGCTTGAGTGTCTTGTGCTGGAGAGATGCCAGCAGCAGCGCCACAGATGACACGCGCGGCGGGTATGCCTTTCCTCCGACGTCTCTTACGATGCCAGTGAGGACTAGACAGGTGGTCAACCATCGTGAAGGATGCCACAAGTACTTGTGCAATGCTTGGAAGGAGACGGACGCAAAGAAAGAACGACTTGGTATCGTGAAATTCGCTATAAACTTCCAAAATTCGGGTGTTTGTCTAATCAATATTGAATCACGCTGGAATTCTGATTGGTTGAATATATATGTCTTTCTGTAAGAGCCAATCAAATCCACTAAAAAAATTGGATTAGCCAATAGCGTCGATTCGTGATTCGGCGGCGAGATTCGATTCGACGACGGGGTCGGGAAATCTGTACCGAATCCACAATATACAAGTAGTGTATACCTCGAATTGCAAGTTCGTCAAACATCAACGGATCGTCCAGAAACGAGTCGAGCAACTCTACTGCAACGGGAGATTTCACAATCACGTACTTTTCCCGTAGGAATTGCTCTATAATGGACAAAGCAAGTGGTCAAACCCACTGCATTAGATAGAACATGTACAAACATGCAGCGGGGTATCGAAGTGTACCTGCTAGCTGGAGGTCGTCATGTGCCTACAACACATGCCATCACACAAGGCTCATCATTTCCCATCAGAAGTATCCTATTGGTGGCTATAGAAGTAGTGGCGACGGACCTCCCTAGCATGCTGCTGCAATAGCGCCAAGCCGTGTTCAAGAGCATCCGACCCAGGCAATGCGCCCAGCGCTCGCACTTGCTACGGACGTCGCCACCATCATGATTGTCAGCAACACTAGGACATGCAAACCTTTCGAATGCGAATTCTGTCAAAGTCCTCCGAGTCGTTGGATGGATCTTCGACCCATTCCTGGCCGAATCGGTTGCACGTAGCTTTTAGCTGGGCTTTGTTCACGGCCAGCAGCGGCCGCACGACGTGTAGGTCGCGGCTGAACGTTGGATGCGGCACTGGGAACAGAGACCAGGCGGGCATCCCTGCGAGGCCGCTCCACCCGCTGCCCCGACCAAGACGGAACAGCAGGGTTTCCAGCTGGTCGCCCAAGTGGTGACCGACGTAGAGCCCATGAATGCCTTCGCGGGTGCACACATCGCCTAGGATGGAGTACCGTCGGAGGCGCGCTTGGATCTGCAGCTGACTGCGAGGCAACTTGCCGGGGATATCGTCCCAACGAAGGCGATGGATCTGGTGTGGGATGTTGTACTTGGTGGCAAACGATGCCACATGCCGCGCTTCGTCAGCACTTTCAGGACGCAGGCCGTGGTCGACTGTGACGGCGAGGACCTGGTTTGGGTGGACGACGTATTCTCGAAGAAGCATGAGCAGCGCCGTGCTGTCAGCTCCGCCGGACAGAGCAATAGCCACGCGCCCACTACGATGCGTCTTTGGGATTGATTCCATCAACTGTCGGAATGCGGACGCCGTGACTGCCGTCACTTGCGATAGGCCTGCCATGATGCAATCTGCAATCAAAACCAATCATTTAGTAATACTAAACTAAATAGTACTACTATAGTACTACTGTATTAGAAAAAAGTGGACATTTGTGATGGTGACCTCTATAAACGAGTATCCTTCCTCCGACCTGCGAGTTCTTGTGGAGCTTGTATTACAACGAAACGTCGTGTTGGTCCGCAAAATCTTCGCTTCAGCGTCCAGGGGCCCAAGAATCTCCATCATTGTACAGTTTTGATGCGAGTGCGGTGCAGTGCAGTGACTTTACAGTTCAGCACGTCGTAAATAAGTGTAAACAACATTAAGCACGGGGCAATAATATTCAAGAGGTTTTGCAACTCATTCCATTCAGCACAATGAAATGTACTTCGAAGTAATCACCCTTTTGACGAGAAGTCATATTCGGTTTTTGCGGCGCCCCCAGACAATCGAAGACTACCCTCGTGGATGCGATGACATCCCCACGGATTCCACGATTCCAGCGGCATCACCCGATAATGGGCCATTGCGATGACGCACTGAAATTGGCGATGTTTTCATTTACTGTTAGCGACTTGAAGCAGTTCGTGGCTGGTGGAAGTGATCGCCAAAATCGGACTTTGCTGGTTGTTGTTTTCTCAATTGTGATCGACAAGTCGCAGATTGATGGCTTCCTGCTTTCCATTTCAACTTCGGGCGACATCGCAGGCCTCGCCATGTCCTTCATATTTGCGTTCTGTCTGTCATTTCAAGATGCAGCCATGAGGTGTACAAGTACCTCTGTCCCACTTCCAATGTCTGGTTTCAAATATCAATAATCCCAGTTCAAGTGTCGTGATTTTATTCCATTGGCCAAAACGACGCTAGACCTATGTTAATTGGACAAAACTGTTTACCATTCCATGGACTGCATCCCGCCATCGATACAGCATTCCAGCTGCAGACGTCCATGTCAGCTTGCGCTGAGTGTCAAGCAAAGGTTCATGTGTGAAACATCTCGCAGCTGAGTTACCCAACTCTCCTGGCACAGCTGCCACCGCCAGCGCAACGGGGCTGCCTTGCAGCCGCACCATTGTCGTTGGTGGTTCAGCGGTGTCAGCAGGTGGTCCATTATTGGGGCATCTACAGTCTGTAGGCAGACGCCGTGTATGAGTGCTCAGATTTTATCGCCAGGACATACAGAAGCTTTGTGATGTCAAGCTAGTGTTGGCACGACTGGTGTCTTGCAACAAGTTCCTCATCTTGAGGAAGTCGTTGTTCACGACTACAGACAACGAGGGAATTTAAGGCTCATCGAAGTTCTGTGTGTAGCGCAAATTTCACGATATGACTGGATAGCGTAGTTCGAAATTCGAAACATATTATAAAAATTCACCAATAGAAATTTAAGTATTTCGTGATTTGCTGCTGATTGGCTGAAAAAAGTGTGTGACACTCAAAACTTCGATGAGCCTTAAATTCCCTCGTTGTCTGTCCCTCATGCCGTAGGTGTCGAACTTCAATGTCCTGTACTGTGTACATACCATACTTTATTCAAATGAAACAAAATGAAAAACCATGAGATAGTAAAACTAGGATATTTTGCGTATTTCGGAACGGAATGTCCTGAATTTGGCCATCGTCGACTCATAACGCTCAGTGCATTCCATTTCTACCAATTACAACTCTGTACGATTTTTGCTCGAATTTTAAAACCGAAAGTAAAAAACCACGACATGCGAAGTGGGACAACTACATCTATTTGTAGCTTCTTGTAACTGCCATTCACAGTCAACCAACCGTTCACCAAGAAGTCGGCGCAGAAGGCTCTGTCGTCAAAAATGAGGATTTGTGGTGGTGATCTGGTCCTTGCTCAATGAAAGCAGCACGCGCAGGTTGGGCTGCCTTCCGGAATCACCATGTCAAAACACGGTTTCAACATTGTAAGGTAATTGGAGTCGATGGATTGGCTGAAATGAATTATTTTGGTGCTCTCTAGTTGGCTGAATTGGAATCTAAAAATACATACATATGGATATCGACCAACACTTGACCTTTGGGCAATGGAAGAGCTACAGAAGAAGAAGGAAGAGTTGCTACGCGCACAGCGGGAGAACGCGGACAAGTTCAACGCTATATTGAACGGACCTGGTGGCCTCAATGAGACAAGCCGTAAGATGTGCAAGAACCTCGAGGCTGCGATCTCGGCATCGAAAAAGCCCGGGTACTTCATGTACTTTGAACAGCCCGACGTTGTCAAAGCCGTCGTGAAGAACGGCGAGTTGCGCAAGCTGCAGACGATGATTGTGCAGCTCCAGCAAAAGATCGACCAAGTCGACGTCGAGATTGCCAACCACTCCAAAGGCCTTGCCAGTCATACGACAGGAGGAGGTGGCCGAGAAACGGACATCCATAGCCTCAAGCAGTGGTTATCTACGTACGGCACTCCGAAACCCGTGTCGAGCGGCATGATGACATGCTTCTCCGCGAATCCTAAGGTATATGGCGGCACGGAGCATTACTCTGCCTTCAAATCGCAGTCCACGACCATGAAGAAAGGCAGGATCACGAAGTAAACACAGGGGTCGCAGTGATATATTTGGTTAGTAAAATTTAAAAAGTCGAGTATTTGCCCAACTTGTCCACGTTTCGAAAGTTGTTGCCGGCGTACACGGCCTTGTCGCCCATCTCTTCTTCGATGCGGAGCAACTGGTTGTACTTGGCCAAGCGTTCCGAGCGGCATGGCGCACCAGTCTTGATCTGGCCCGCGCTCAGCCCGACCGCCAAGTCGGCAATGAACGAGTCTTCGGTTTCCCCGCTGCGGTGGGACGCCATGATGCCCCAGCCGGCCTTCTTGGACATGGTCACGGCTTCGATGGATTCCCAGATCGACCCGATTTGGTTGACCTTGAGGAGCAGAGCATTGCACGCTTTTTCGTCGATGGCCTTCTTGACGCGGGTGGGGTTGGTCACGGTCAAGTCGTCGCCCACGATTTGGACGTGGTCACCGACGACAGCCGTCAACTTCTTCCACGACGCCCAGTCGTCTTGGTCAAACGGGTCTTCGATCGACACAATGGGGCTGTGGTCCTTGCATTGTTCAATGAACGACTGGTACACGGCGATCAACGCATCTGCCGAGATCTTGTCCGTGTCGGCGGCGTTTTCGTTCTTGAAGTCCAAGTTGTAGCGGGCGTCGTCCTTGCCCGTGTAGAATTCCGACGCGGCAACGTCCATGCCGATCTTCACCTTGTCGGTGTACCCGGCAAGTTCAATGGCTTCTTGAATCAAACGAAGGGCTTCGCCGTTTTCTTGGATGTTGGGGGCGAACCCGCCTTCGTCACCGACGGCGGTCGCATCCAAACCGTAACGCTTGTTGATCACCTTCTTCAACGTGTGGTAGACTTCCGTGCCGATTTGCATGGATTCCGTGAAGCTGGTGGCGCCAGTAGGCAAGATCATGAATTCCTGCATGGCCAACTTGTTGCCGGCATGCGAACCGCCGTTGATGATGTTGAACGAAGGCACGGGAAGACAGGGGGTAGGGTTGCCGGCCAAGTCGGCAATGTGTTGCCACAACGGCACGCCCTTGGCGGCGGCACCGGCCTTGCACACGGCGAGGGACACGGCCAAGATCGAGTTGGCGCCGAGCTTCTTCTTGCACCAGCCCCATTCGTTCTTCGTGCCATCGAGGGTTTCCACCATGTACACGTCGAGTTCCTGTTGGTTCTTTTCGTCCTTGCCGATAAGGGCAGGGGCAATGATCGAGTTGACGTTGTTCACGGCCTTGGACACTCCCTTGCCGAGGTACGCCTTGCCGCCGTCGCGGAGTTCCAACGCTTCAAACTCACCCGTGGACGCACCAGAGGGCACAGCGGCGCGGAACAACCCGTGTTCGGTCACGAGGTCGACTTCCACGGTGGGGTTACCACGGGAGTCAAAGATTTGGCGCGCTTTGATGGAGATGATCGGCATGTTTGTTCTTGGAAGCAAATTCGAGAATGACCAGCGGGGGAATTCCCTCGAAATGGATTCCCCTACATCCGGCCACCTGGCGGTATTGCCCACAGGTACCTTGCACACTTCAACACTATACAAGGGAATTACCAGCTACTCCAAGCAAAAGATCATTTGTTCTCTCGTTTGCTTGTGGAATCGAGTAAGTGCATCAAGACCTGAGAGTTCTATCATGTAGGTATCCTGTCTTCATGCCTTCCTCCCGAGGCTGGCGCATGTAGTTTGACTTCCACGAGGTCGAACCTACACGACGGAGTCCAAGGCGTCCCATTCACCTCAAGATACTTCGCGCACCACCGCCGCGCGTTTCCTTGTTTCAAGATAAAAAAGGCCCTTGTATACTTTAATCAAGACATCAAATTGCGCATTCTGTGCCATCAAGGTGCAAGGCTACTCTCAAAATGTAACAGTTTATTGGCTGAAATGGAGGAAATCAGCCATGACGCACTGATGTCAACCTTGAATCATCCAATCATAGTGTACTAATTTCGACACGACCGTGACCAAGATGAAGAGTTTGGATGTGCGAAGAGGCATCGAGCGGCACCGCAATTGTCGCGTCTATCAGACTGACACTTTGACGCGTGTTCATTGAGGGATTGCTAGATGTTGAGCTCCATCGTCATGCCTTGCAAGGCCACTGTGCTGGTCGTGGATTTGTGTCCGCCTTTGAGAGTTGACTGATTGTCGTAGAGTACCAGTATGGTGATTGATCTAAGGTGTCGACTCCACATCGTCATCGATGGGATTCTATGACGAGAGGTATAGATAGATTCATCTCACGGCTCAATGACAATGCCGTATGCGGAGAGAAGGTACTATGTGATAGCCACGAATGAGAGCCAAGCCATTTCAGGGATACTTAACACACATACATTTGTCAATGGATGCGGCTGGTGGTTTCAACGTAAAGAGGCGTATAGCCACACAGCCACGTGACCTACCGCTACCGCTCTAGTTTTCGACCACGATGGAGTACCACGTAAATCAACATTGAGGACGCGACGGACGGCCCAGTGGTTGTCTTTGCTGACCGAGCGCTCCGAGTGTACGATGCGGTTTTACAAATGGACCCTGGACGAGGATGCCAATGACTTCACACGAAATCAAAAGCACGCGATGGAGTCTCTAGCCGACGGTAACCACTTGACCATGATATTCCAACGTTACTGTAGCTGCAATTCAAAGCTGGGATCACGACATCATTCGTAGCCTATAGTGCGTCGGAGATGAAGCAGCGTTCATGGTCAACTACGTCCGTTTTTGTAGTTCAGAGCCGTCGAATTCTTCGAAGCCCAGCGAGCTGTGTTGCAAGATGAGACAATTGCAGTATCCTCCACGGTACACCTGCGCAACCTCTGCAAGCGACACCACCGACATGTCATGCTACGTACTCCGGAGTAGTAATTACTGAGAGCTACAAGTTCATCGTATACCAAACTTGATACTGTAGCCATCATGATAAGACTCCTTTCTTGCCAGCGGGAATCCCTCCGAGAAGGCTCTTTCTTCCCCACTGAAACGATAGCTCTCGACAATGTACGCCTTCGGGTCAAGCAAATGTACAGGGAACAACTGCCCTTTTCACTTCAGTTCGAACCTGTTGGTGGTCGGTGTTGCGTACAGGATGAGCTCGACAAGGCTACGTTCAATGCAGGCGCACCAATGCCAAACGTGTATATCTATCGCGTTTACATGGTACAAACTATTTCAATTCCCCGGCAGGCCTTTAGTTCGTCGCGGTTTCAACGACTTCACCTGCTGGGTTCAATCGAGCGCTTCGCAGAGCTTCAGAGATACGGTATCGCGCCAAGGACCCCTTCGTTCCAAGCTCGGCCATCGACGTAATGCTCATGAGGTAGTTGTCCAAGCCACCGGCCTTATCTACGCATCGCAGGGTGTGCGCAGTCACGTGCAACGGGATCTTTTCGTCCAACGCTTCGCTGTACAGCGCCTTGTGTTGGGCATTGACCTTCCAAGCGCGACGCGTCTTACGCTGTGAAAACGACACATTGTTACCGAATCGCTTGTCGCGGCCGGCAAAGAGACCACGAGCGGCACGACCAGACACATGCTGCGGTGGCGCGGCCCGCGCAAACTGTTGCATCAAGAACGAGATGGAGCTCATCGCTTTCGAATTTTGCGCTCCAGTAGTTTCCAGGTGAATAAGAACCTTTGATTTCGCATACTGTATTGTGATGCTGGCCTTACAAGGTTTATCCGTATGAAACCGGAAATAGTCACATCAGGTACCTTGTATTAATACATCATACTATTAATAAGAGCATCTCCAACGGTAAATTCTAACCTATTGCTAAAGCATACTGGTAGGTTAAAGTCAAACTTCGTTTTTACGGTTGCTATTTTAACACTATCCGGACTTTTTAGAAATTTCGTCCCGCAGAATTTCTATTTTCGTGTGAAATAGCAACAAACCCTCCGGATAGAGCAAGAGTTTCTATTCTATATCCGTAACTTCGAATTGAAATAGAAATAAAAACGCCGTTGAAGATGCTCTAACTATCGAGTACTAGTACCAACTATTGGCCCAAATTTAAATGTACTTGTACTGTATAAACAAATACCCTCTAATAATAACTAACTTTGCAGTACTTGAGACCTTGAACGTTATTAATAACTGAAAAAGATGACGTAAATTCTTTCCCAAGCGCCAGAAACTTCGAGTAATGACAACCAATATTACCATGCGTACTTAACCTATCACTTCAAGCAATAGTACAGTCTGTATACGAAAGCTAAGTTGAACTTGATGTTTCAGTTAGTTTCGTCAACTTGCAGTGGGGACACCGTTCATTTTATTCGTTCATAGAATTTACATTCGTTTTTTGTATCGAACTGTATTTTGACAAATTATGCTTGATGTCGTTTTGGCTTATTGGGGCCAAATCCAAATTTGCACGCGGCCCAGCATCCATGGCGACATCCTTTGGCGATGTCCGAGTGCTTGGGCATCTTACGGAAGAGTACGCGCAGATCTTGACCCCGGATTCGCTCCGATTCGTGGCCTACCTCCATGATACCTTTGAACCCCGTCGTCAGGCGCTGCTGCAGGATCGCGTCGCACGCCAAACCCAGCTCGATGCAGGTGTTCTCCCGACATTCCTGCCCCAAACAAAGTACATCCGTGACGGCAACTGGCATGTTGCGAGCATTCCCAAGGACCTAGAAGACCGACGCGTGGAGATCACGGGGCCAGTGGACCGTAAGATGGTGATCAATGGGCTCAACTCGGGCGCCAAGTGCTACATGGCTGACTTGGAGGACTCGAGCGCCCCCACGTGGGCGACGGTGGTGTCGGGCCAGATCAACCTCCGCGATGCAGTGCGTCGCACGATCACGTACGAGCAACCTGGGACGGGGAAGCAGTACGCGTTGAACGCGTCGACGGCGACGTTGCTCGTCCGGCCGCGGGGGTGGCATCTCGACGAAGCGCACATGACGGTCCGTGGCGCCGTCGTCTCTGGCAGTCTGTTCGACTTTGGTCTGTTCTTCTTCCACAACGTGCACGAGCTTCGCCTCCGCGGGTCTGCGCCGTACTTCTACCTCCCCAAGCTCGAAGGCCACCTCGAGGCGCGGCTTTGGAACGATGTGTTTGTCGCTGCGCAGCAGTACTTGGCGGTTCCTGTCGGCACGATTCGCGCGACAGTCCTCATCGAGACGCTCTTGGCCGGGTACGAAATGGACGAAATCCTGTTTGAGCTCAAGGAGCACTCGAGCGGACTCAACTGCGGCCGCTGGGACTACATCTTTTCGTTCATCAAAAAGTTACGCGCCCATGCGTCGTATGTACTTCCGGATCGGTCGGCCGTCGGCATGACGGCTCCGTTCATGGCGTCGTACGTAAAGCTCCTCATTGAGACGTGCCACCGCCGCGGCGCGCACGCGATGGGCGGGATGGCTGCGCAGATCCCCGTCAAGAACGACCCCGCCCTCAACGACCGCGTCATGGCGGCGGTGCGCGAGGACAAGCTGCGCGAAGTCCGCGCGGGTCACGACGGTACGTGGGTGGCGCATCCGGGGCTTGTGAGCGTGGCCATGGACGTGTTCGACGCCCACATGCCGACGCCCCATCAGATCGCCAAGAAGGGGGAGGACGTGTCCGTGCAGGGGGAGGACCTGCTGGAGGTGCCGACCGGCGGACGCATCACGGTCCAGGGTTTGGAAGAGAACGTCGACGTTGCCCTCGTGTACACGGAAGCGTGGCTACGAGGAATCGGATGCATTCCACTGCACAACAAGATGGAGGATGCTGCGACCGCCGAGATTTCGCGGAGTCAAGTGTGGCAGTGGTTGCATCACGGCCAGTCGGCAGAATATGAACATGGAGAGAAAAATGTCATCACCAAGCCGTGGGTGTTGGAGATCTTGGACGCGGCTGTGGCCCGCCACGTCACGACCACGTCCCCGCACAAGTTTGAGCTCGCGGCGGAGATTGTGGGGAAATCGCTTACCAGCGACAGTTTTGAGGACTTTCTCACGTTGCCGTGCTACCCTCACATTACCTCGTTTGCGTAAACTCCCCTATATAAAAAGTATAATGGAGATGAAACGAGTGCACTACGCAAACAAACGCTTGTTGATTTGAATTGAATGGTGTTAAGGATGTGCTTGTATTACTACTCTATTATAATAATAGTAATAGTAACGTTATGTCCCTGTAGGCATATTGAACAAGTCACATGATGTACATACAGTATTCACACCTCTCCATGTCCTCATGTGTATCTCGTTGGACTGCGTGCAATGAAGTCATATGCACAGGCTAAGAATAACGTTAGGGGTTTAAACAAGCCTCAAAACATAAGCGACGGTGTTGGATTCGTGTGAGAGCTTTTACTTTTTCAGACTTACTATTGACAAATCGATTACTCCTTGTAAATTGAAGTTAGTGCTTTATCACCAAATCGGCAGACAATCGATAGACCAATCAAAACCCAGAACACTAATCAAATCCACTCCAATGCAACATCGAATTAGTGTGTGACTGAAATTAGTGTGAGCCTCGAACGATCGATAGATTTGGCGAATCAGCACAAAAGTCCAAATTTTGGGTAAAAGGACAATAAAAGTAAATCTGAACGCTTACAGTTAGTTTGTCGCGCACTGGTGCATCAAGCCCATGAATCCTTGTACCCAAGGCACGAAATCTGAATTCTCCCGTCGGATCAGTTCACGCCGCACGTACGCGTCCTTCTGGTCGTCTTGGATGCCCGTCACATCGACGCCCCTCAGCGCCGCGAACTCGTCCACACTCACAAACCCGCCGCCAGGTCGAAATATGTGCGACACATGGCTCACAACGCGCAGCAAGATGTGTGTTGGCGATACCTGCCGAACCTCGGTCCTACATGCAACAACAACAAAGCTAAGTCTACCGTCCACAACAACCCCCGAACGAGGTACGCACGCACCACGACATGTTGTGCTGCTGCTTGTGGAGGGGGTCACACAGATGGGCTTCGTCGTGTTCGACTTGGCGCATGACCATGATGAACCTGTTGGCTTCGACGAAGTGTCCTTGGAGTGAGTTCACGAAGATGCCTTTAGGAGTGATGGTACGAAACAGGCGTGTGTTGGGTGTCGTCTCTTCCACCACCTAATCAAACACAAAGATCAGTCACGTGTTGACCCTCCATATTCGTTCATCTGTCTATGTACTTGCCATGTCATTGGAATTGAATAACATTGCCGGCCACATGTTGGACGCAACCAGGCGTCGAAACATTTGCACCGTGCCTGGCCACGAGAACTGCATCCTTTCCACGCCCGTAATCGGATCGCTATCGTCTGACGCTTGAATGTCAAATTTGAAAAAATCGTCGTGATAGCTCGCGGCAGGAAGCAACGTGAACGGCTCGTGTATGTTGTGGTACATGTGCTGTGTGAGCCACTCCTTGCCCAGGTTTCGAGCACTCGGGTCGGCCGCCAACGTCGCACTGTGCCACGCATGATTGCTGCGGGACATGGGCGACTACATACACATACGCAATGATTTCACTCGCGTGTCGCTATGGAAATCTGAAAATGTACCGGAATGTTCATCATGACAAAGCGTTGCATGGCCTTCGTGAGGGATTGATACTCTTGCGTTTGAGTAATCAGTGACTGGCGGTCCGTCAAGACCCGGTGGGCTTCTCTTTTGAACACTATGGCAATGGAATGCCAGGACAAAGGACCATCGCTTGCTTCACGCGGCGCCATGGACGGCGGCGGTATGCTGGCTTGAAGGCCATCAAGGATCGGCTGAAGGTGCTCTATCTGTGCTTTGACAATCGCCCCATCAGAATTCAACTTGCGGCGATGCGCGCGCTGCTTCTCTCGGAAGTACCGACGCCGAGCGAGAGTTTTGTCGGCAACGCCAAACGTAGAGGCGCCTCCATTGGACGACATGCTTGCCTTGAGTTCTGCCGATACGTAATCTGCCTACTCTGGAAGAAAATACTTCGACGAATAAGCAAGTCTCTATACAATGTATACAATGGTGCATAGTTTGCTGTGCATAGTTTAAAACAAAATTGATGCCAGCAGTCCGGTAAACGGAAAAAATCCGCATAACAATGATATCCGGAAATGAACCCTGACGCATAAGTTTGCATGACCCGGAGGCATAAGTTTGTGTTAACGTGGAATTCACTTGTGAGAGATCCTTGACCACCTTTCCGCCCTACATAGTCAATAGTAGGCCGTCATTCCAACCTGCACCTGGATACTGTAGTCAGTCTGAAGATGCTCGACAATGTTGGGACTGAGGATTTCGGTCTCACAGTCAATTTTCAGAATGGAGTGCAAAGCTCACCCGCGCTTCAGTTGGACAAGGTCGTTATACTGTAGGTACTGTACATGGACTCACCATGGACGATGCGGTTGAGAATGACGACTGTTCTAATGTGTTAATTGATGGAGTAAGGAATAATTGATGAAGTAAGGAAACTCAGTCATTCACACATGAAAACTTGTGCCACTGCTCAGCGAAGGTTGTGCTTTGGCTGGGCTGCTAATGCACTTGACGAGTTTAGTGAAGTGTGAGCCACGAGCGCGTTTGAAGGATCCATTTGTTCAAAGGAAAGTGATTATTGTAAGGGGCTGGTCTGTGAAAAACCATCCACGCTTAACTAGGAATTGGCTTGCTGTCAACTACTGGTACATGATACCGATAATTGGACAAAATTATCCATTGATGGCATGTTATTGGCTAATTCGTCAAAACTGTATTTTACAGTCGCGACTGTAAATCTGACCGATTTGCAATCTCGCTGTATTTTACAGTCGCCCGGTGGGGTTGTCAAAACTGTAAATAATCCGGATAGAACTGTAAAATAGCGTTTAACGTAAACGGCTACTACTCTGGTCCACAATGACTGTGCCAAAGTTTAGACTTGGATATAGTATAGGGAGCGGTTCAAGAATATCTTGAAAATTGTATTGGATTCTGAAAACGTATAACTGAGTCGGCAAATAGAATTGTATTTTTATTCAACGACGAAAACTACTCATTCAAGAGAATTGACCAAGCCCTCAAGGTGAATTTCTTCGCCCAGAAGACAGCTCAAGTGAACTAAGGCCTCTTCATACGTCGTCGAGTTGCATTCAACAGTGAAAGAGGACAAGTTCTTAATAGTCGTGTCCTTATTCATGTGTGGAAGCTTATAGTCGTTGCTGCCTTGAATTTCAATTGACTTTTCCAGGACTTTTTGGAAAGTTATGAAAGTCTTTGACAGCGTGTCGACTGGCAACTCATAAAACGCCGTTTCTACCGCATCAATTAGCTCCTCGATGGTACGAGTGCACTTTTGATGCTGTAGACTTTGAATAGAGTTCCAAAAAATCCTAAGTCTAAGACATTAAAGTCGGGGCTGTTCGCTGGCTGGTTGGCGATGGAAATGCCTTCGACGCCCCGTGTTCGCAGCATGTCAGTCGTTACACACCGATGTGGACTTGCATTGTCCTGTTGGACGACAACGCCGTGCTGCAGACGTCCTCGGGGGAACTTGGCCTTGATCGCAGGCACAACTTTGTGCAGCACGGCGTCGAGGTACACGTCGCTGTTCACGGTCTGGGGGACCGTGATAATGGTCCCCTTGGGCCGGTTCTTGCTTGTTCGGGCCGCCGGCGACCGCTGCACGAAGGGCCACACGCCAACCTTGCCACTGAACACTTGCTTGGTG